CCGAGCAACAATAATACTAAAATGAAGTGATTTCATGAAATTGTTTGTAATTCCATGTAAACACGTCAAACGTCAGTGACCTGAAATGTTTATGTTGTGGACCACCGAACGATGCTTGTTATTCCGGAAATCGTCAGAGAGCAAGCAAGCAACGACAGAGAAATAAACAGTCAAGAATTCAAAGTGACGCTTTGGTGCACATACAAAAGGGCTTTTCACTTACCAAACCCATAGAGAAAATGAACTTCTTGAGCATTGCTTTTGAACGCATATGCCACAAGTTTTGACTAGTTTTGCACATTGAATTTGAATGTCAAACATTTATTGATTGTGGTTTTTCAGTCTGGTTCTGGCAAGCAAAATGAACCACAGTTACACACTGATCAGGCCAATTATATTATGAATGAAAATTTCGTTGGCTTGATTGAACGTGTGCGGTTTGTAGATAAACAGAAATTGAAAATATTCCATCAGGCAAGAGAAGAGTTCATTATTATGTGACAGTTTTGCTAGAAGTGCCACAACCAAATCAAGAAAGAATAAAGAAATCGAATGCAACGAACGATAAGCAAACAATTTATCGCTGTAGAATTGGTAATTGTTTCACTTCAAAGACCAAATCGTTGCGTAGATATGAATCGAATATACTTCCATTCGCACAAAGTCAATGAAGTAGCTATGCTCATATGCGATACAATCAACATACACCACAGGCCATAAGTTTGGATACCCCTATGAATGAATTTGGCCCAAAATTTTTAAATTTCAAACCGCTTGTCCAATTTCAACATGCTATACGTCGTTGGAAAGGTCTCAGAGAGTACGTATCATTTTTTGTATTAAACATCAAAATCGGCCAGCTTTTGGCCAAGATATGGCTGATTGAAGATTTCGGCCAAAAATTACAAACGGCCATATCTTGGCCAAATGCCGGCCGATTTTGATGTTTATACCAAAAATCACATCTACTTTTCAAGACCTTTCCAATGGCGTATTTAACTTTTTAATCCGATGGCCCGTTTAAGACTTCGATTTTGGCTCCCACAGCTCAAAGGCCAAAAGATGGCCATAGGCCGGTCAAATTTTATCTTCCAAATCATCCATTCGGTCAGAATTTCGATATATTTTCATATGCAATACTAAATTTCAAGTGAAAATGTTCAAAAAACGTAGAAACAAACGTTTCATAGGGGTATCCAAACTTATGGCCTGTGGTGTATATTGACGTATATGCAATAGAAACGAAAAAAAAAAGCAAAATACACACGCAGCTTACAATCCAAATGAAGTCAGTAGTCGAAAACCATGCACGAAGAACGCGGATATATTTAAAAGCATTGCATATGATTCCGATTTCATTTGTAAAGAAATTAATAATGCATTGCTTTGAATGGTCTATCAGCGCTGCGTATAATTTGTTGTTCGTGTATGTTGTGTGTTTGTGTGTTGTACTCAAAGCGAACGAGAAGAGAAACAAAGAACAACGAGCTGCACGAAAAGAGAAAAAAGAGAAATAAAGAAAAAAAAGAAAATAAAACCAGATAATTATTTATATCGATGTGTCTGACTGACATACTTCTGGAATCCTCGGATCTATACAAGTAGGTCTCTCTTTTACTTTATAACCATTCTGGTTCGGCAACTCTTCAGTTTCTTGCACGCTGGCACGTCACGCTGGCACCGCATACAGAAATGAAGAGAGAGAAAAGCAGCAATGTGGAATAAAAAGAAGAAGAAGAAGCGGCAAGAAACGATGAAAAAACACAGTGCAGCCAAGCAATTAAAGTGAAAAAAAAGGTTCACTTACATTTACACGAATCGCATACGGAACAATTCTAAAGAGATTTGTGTGTATGAAACTATGTTACGACCAATACGTACTAAGTGCCTATACAACTAAATCACTTGGCTATCTCTCACTCTTATTCCGATATGACTGTGTCTTGTCTACTTATATTCATTTCTGTGTTCGTTTGTCCCATTAAACACATGGGACCGCAAGAACACAAAGTGAGAAAATTTATAAATCAAATGCAAGAAGAGAGAACAAGAAAAAAGAAAAAAAAAAAACCCAAGCCATTGTCGCCACGATCAACGGCGATCGCTAAGCGAGCGCGTAGCTACCAAGAAAATTCTCATCGGCGCTGCGATAAGACGGGTCGAAAAATTCTCGCTGCGCTACCGGTGTGCTGCTTCTGCCGCCATCATCGTCGTCGTCGTCGTCGCTGTTGATGCTTTGTTATGCTTTTTAATAACACGCATAACTAACTCACACACTCTGTCGACAGCTCGGCATAAAGAATTTGAATTGTTAGCACTGGGATAATTGCAGGTAATAATCGTGTCGATGCGGAAAACAGCTCTCATTAGGAATATGGCTGTGTCTACCACATCTCGTCGCGCTGTTGACTGAATTTTCATTGAAGAGAAACGGATGAAAAGTAGCAGAAGAAGCAACAGAATATATAAAACGTTTTCGCGGTTGATTTGATTCAATTTACAAGCAGAGAAACTATTAAATATCGCTTACGGAGAGTCGCTTGCATTTGGAATCGGTGAGAAATCCATGGCATCTGTTTTTATTTTGTCAATGTAGTTGCTGAGGCGACTGTTGTTGTTTTTGTTGTTGCTCTTGTGACCCAATTCCGATAATTTACGAATATTTAAAGAATATACCGCTGCACCATTGCCGCCACACACAAAACAAAACAACCACAACGATCATCGAAGTTTGAGAATTTCGTGCACACGAATTAGTAGTATTTGTTTGGCAAGCGCTCCACAATAAACCACACTTCAACATGATTTCAATTCGTTTCGGCAAAGTGAGTTCTTAAACCATTTCGACACTAGCACTGTGTTGCCTGTTGAATTTGTTGTGTTGTGTTGTGTATTTGGGCTTTGGACTGTTCAATCGCGATTTAAATTGCGCGTACATTATCAGAAAGTACCATCATCGATCGTACAAACGTGTCTGCGTCGAATGTGTACTGGGAGCTCGGTTGGCTCTCTCTCTCTCTCTCTCTCTCTCTCTCTCTCTCTCTCTTGCGCGCGCTCCATAGCTGCTTCGCATATTGTAACAAAAGCAACACAAACACCACGTCTTGTGGCACCACACTCTCACATATCAACAACATCGAGCAGCCAATACATGAATTCACATCGTCAACACCAAAATATACCTCTCGTGCGATTGTAAAATGTAAGTCAAGTGAACAGACTGAAGCACTGGTACACATTTATAGTAGATTTTAATCCGTGTAAAAAGGTGAATCAACTTTTGTGAATAGATTTTGATGTTTTGTTGTGTATAATTATATATATATATTTTTTTCGGTTCACATTCGATTCGAGAGTCATTTCTTTTTTTTATTCGTATTTTTTGGTTGTTGCGTGGTGATATTATGTCTCTGTCGACCAAAGATTTGAATTCAGCTTGAATTACTGCGAAAAAAAAAGGTTACGAAAAGTGTGTGTGGTACAGAACGAGTTGAGTCGATGAGCCATTTATGTGCGGATATTCACAGAGACTGACAACGACGACGAAGACGACGACAACGGCGGCGGTGACAGGAAAAGACACAAAAATTCCGTTATACAATTGTCGCGAGCATCGGTGTGATGCTGCTCAATTTTAATGACGTGCTACGAAAATTGTGTGTTATGATAATTGTGAAAAAGAGACAAAACGATAATCGCATAGCCAAACCAAATATATATGTACATTTGCATATATGGTGAATTTTCGGTCTGCCAAATCGAATGATGTGTATGTTGTTCATTGTTGAGCTATTGTAAATGTGTTACACCACTGAAGATACACACAGCAAATCAAATATATATGTACGTATATATCGAATGTGGATGAATCGAGTAAAAGATTTTCAGTGCGATAAAATTCAGTGAATTTTCGGTCATCTGTAACAAAAGAAAGAACTGTCCGGGGCACAAACACACCGCAAATTTTGTCCGTATTAATTGCGTCAATCATCGTTGTTGTGATAAAACGTGCATCGTTTGCGGGCCCATTCCACGACCTATTTCGAGACATCAGTGTTTGTTTAATAGCATGATCGGTGATTTCTCGCGACGACGACGACGACTCGAAATCTCATTTATTGTACGCAAATTGATTACGTGCACATTCAGGCGGTTATGTGATTAAAAGTCGCATCGGTCCAGTAGTACAAAAGAGTTACATAGTCATAATCAAAATCGCCGCGACTCAAGTTGATTGTTTTTTTTTTCTGTCTTCTTCATATATTTTTGTCGGTGGTTTTTCTCGGTTCCCTTCTTTCAAAAAATAAATAAATAAATATATCGCTGCTTAATATATTGGCAACTAGCGCCCGCCAACAAAAATTCTGTATTCTGTGTGGAAAACGGTATTGAAACGCGAATCGGCCGTCAATGACAGTGTAATTACGAAAAATCATTCGGTCAAGTCCAAAAACATCTCGCAAACAGAAGTTTTTTCTTCGTTGATCGCTTGGCTGTTATTCTTGTGTTAGTGTCTTTGACACACTGTTGCTATTGCTGGTGTTTTTGTGGTCACGGCTCCTTGTGTTCGCTGAGTAACTGTTTTAATTCTCGACGCGTTTTTTTGTTTGTTCATTTTTATCATTACAATTATTTATATTCTTGTGCCCTTCCGCCAGTGTGTATTTCGTACGGCCAATTTTTTCCATTGTGCACACAAGCCACTGTTCTTCATTTGTTCGGTGTTGCAACTTGTTGTTGCTGTTTTAAATTTTCATTCAAGTAGAAATTGGGTGTGTGTGTGTGTGTGTTTGTGTGTGGCTCACCTACAATATGTCGAATCAATGCCGTAACTGTGGTCGGGATGTTAACAACAATTACACTCCGTACACCAATGCCTATGGGAATAAAACCAATGCCAAAAACGATTCGTCAAGTTCAAAAATATCGAATTCCATATCTTCATCATCGTCCACGTCGCTGTCTCAGCAGTCATCATCTGTAGCGGCTGGTACGTCAGCTACTGCAACAATTGCAACAGGTAAAAGAAGAAGAAGAAAAATAAAAATTTGCAAGCAAAGTTCAACCTTTCAACATTTTACGACAGCACATGGCTGGCGAACGTGCCAAAAGTAGCATGCTATGTTTGGTGTTTTCTTTCTTTCTTGCCTTTTTGTTTTAGTTCCAGTAACTGCAGTGTAGTTCTTTCTTCCATTGATTCTGTTTTTTTCTTCATTTTTTTTTTTTCAATATGGATGCATGCTTTCCACTCCTTTTCCGACGGAAAATTTTCTTAGCCAAAGTTATGTTTGGAACAGTGGGTGCTATCAATGAACTGAGAGAAAAGGAACAGGCTGAGAAGAATAGCACTGCACGAGCTGGTCGACGACAATGATTTTCAGGTTTTAGTCATCAAATTATCGTTAACATTTTCCACATTTTTTTTTGCACTCTCCTTTTGAAAATATATATGTATTTGATGTGTTGCGTAAAGAGTCTAATCGTTAATTGGCCGCTATGCCACTGCTCTTGCTCTTGTATTAAACGTTACACCAAATCGCACATTATAGATACATAATAATCAACGAAAGAAAAAAAAATGTAGCAGCAGAGATACAGAGATATTTTTTTCTTTGTTGGTACAGATGGAGAGATGGGGATATATTGAAAAATTTGAAAGCATCCTTATGCTATGCTCTTCCTGAGAGTTCATTAGGATGCATGGACTTTGCGTTCTTTTTATTTTGTACATTTCATGGTATGTGTGTGTGTGCATACCCGCAAATCGCATCGCCCAACATCCATGGATGTTCCAACAGATATTAATTTGAATGGAATTAATGGGAGATTTTGCGAGAAAGAACACTTTTGAGCTCATAAACACTCTGTCCATAATGCATTAACCAAATGCATTATATAGAATACAGAGCGACACATAGAGGAAGAGAGAGAGAGAATTAAAGAGTAACACTTCGTTTTCAACAGCTGCGTCGGTGTGAGTGTGTGTGTGTGTGTCGGTTATGTGCCCTTAATTTCGTTAATTAACTTTTTGCTTTTGATTACTTATTCACAACGTGACAGAAATTTCAGTGCGTGTCGTTGCCTTTTTTTCTTGACATCGGTTTCGGTTTAATTCTTTTCTTCTTCTGACAACAACGCGCTGAATCATACACAATAAATTATGGGAGAGAGAAAGAAGGACTGTATACCAATCTATATGCACTATGCGGCCAAATTAAAAACTTGAAACAGCATTAAATATACATGTATACACTTGCATTTATTTCAGGGTCTAAAAATGAATTGCAATGATTTGATTTTGTAGCCGGGATATTTAAGTTCTGATCTTCTGATTAAGATAACACTTTCAAGAGCCCACTTCATTTTGACTCAGACTCTTTTCCTTTACAACAATTTATAAGGTTCTCTCAAGGATGAACGCCGTTTGGAATTCTTAAGTATCATTTTATCCAATTCCCAAAACCTGCATATTCTAGGTACATTTTAAACACATTATCTGGTATGAGTTGCGTTCCATTCAACGACTACGGCACTTGAAAAGAATCCGACACTCTTTTATAGACAACGAACACTTCTAGCGAAATGAAAGTAATAATTGAGTGAATGAATGATTCTTGTTTCGTGTGCTGTGCTGGTTTTTTTAGCACTACATGAAATGTAGAGCTACTAATCTGCTTCTTTTTTTTTCTTAATACTTTTTGAGTGATGAAACGAATTATGGTGAATTTGAATTTTATGCTCATATTTTTTATTTAATTTAAAACAGGTGCACTAACGACAAATAAGTGCACAATATCTCGAAGCGCCAATCAAATTTTTTATTATCAAATGTTGTTTGAAAATTACATTAATTTTTCATATAATATTTTCTGAGTCTTGACCAGAATTAAAGTGATTTTAGATTCTATGCTCATATGATTTATTTAATTTAATCCAAAGGCAGTAAATTTTCAAAAAAGAGATGAAACCAAGGTGTTGTCATTCATTTTGCAAATAAATATATTACTTCAAACTTACTTTGATGAAATACATTTCATGTAGTGCGCCAAAAAATAGTTTGTTGTGAAACAACAAAATAGATTAAGTAACTAAAAACTCAAGAATGCAGAGCGGAGCAAAGCGAAGCTCTGCGGTCTTGTTTTTACCTTCATTTCTTTACCTTTCGTCCATTCGATTCAATTGCACATTGAAATGGAAATCTACAGCGAATCGCTGATTTATTCCACTTGAATTTGCCCACTTTACATGAAGTCATTTTTGGTGGAGTGAAGTAAAAATAGGATGAAAAAGAAAAGAAAATCAAACTTGACTTGTGCACTTACACTCATCACCATCAAGTGGTCTTCAGGTAGATAGATAGATGATTTGCTGTACCTCTCTGATTTGCTGCTGAATGAAATTAGACACGACGTGCAAGCATACATTGTAACTAATGATCAAGTTAATGTTTTTTTTTGTTGTTGCTGCCGTTGTTGTAGCTGCTTGTCGTATTAAAAATGAACACAAATCACAAATGTGTAAGCGATAAATCTTCAAATCGAATCATGCATATTTTTAAATGATGAATTGACCAATTTCACTTCTTCTTTCTTTTACATTGTATTGTATTGTGGCCGATGTCATATTTCGCTTTGATGATGATGACGTTGTCGCTGTCATTTGGTCGGCTATACATTTTCGAGATCAAAACCAATTGGCACGAGCGCGTTTGATTGGTTTTCCTTCTGACAACATTCTCTTAGGCCCAAGTGCTGTTCCGTTGTAATGTACAATTTGTTGTGTTTGCTTTTTCTACTCTGCTCACACTTGGATGGTCACTTCATCGTCGTTGTTGTCGTCATCATCATCATCCGGTTATGTGTCGCTCGTTTTTTTTTTTTGAGGCGATAAATTAATGCGAAAGGAAGAAGAAATGATTCTAGAGAAAGACAGAAATGCAAACATGCTGCTTGGATATTTTTTTTTAAATCAGTTGTAGATGTTGCGATATCTCTATATCAGTTATTACTTAGATCAAGCCACATTCGAACATGTTTCTTCGAACGCGTATTAATTAGAGAAAAGACAAACAAAAACCAAGAGAAACCAAAATCTACAGAAACGCGTCGCGTTTTTAACGGAGTTTTATTAAATCGGTGTTATTTTTTCTGGATTTGACTCGAAATTTTATTCTTTTTTCTGGAAGTGATTACGGTTCTTTTTTATCATCGCAAAATTCTCAAACCGTCGTGTTCTTTTCGCTTGAAAGTCATGTGTTCCAGATGGTTAAATTTTCATTCTTAATGAGTGAAGTGCCAGAAACCAGCCGAAATTCATCGAAACGAATTTTGTAGTTAATTTTCTCTTTTTAATTTTCTTTGTTCGTTCGTGAACTGAGAAAAATCGCGCAATTAAATAATAATTTTCAACAAAATATGCAACCTAATCATTTTTAAGCAAAAATGTACGGTTTGTTTCTTCCATCAATAAGTCTGTTGTGTGTGTTTGTTTTTTGTTGTTTTTGCAAGTAATTTGCCTAGCGGAAATTACCCTGAGTTTATATAATTCAGTTTGAATTCGGTTTTTGTCAACCGCAGGAAAAAAAAAAAGAAAGGAGAAAAAAAACCGTTGGATAATATAATATTGGTTTGTAGAGGAAAAATGCTGTCGAGGAAGTGAATAAATTGGTTGTTGTCTGCTTCATTAGATTGAGTGAAGTGTCTTTTTTCTCTTCTTTTGTTTATTTGTTTGTGTGAATCTCAGAAAAGTAGCTAATATGTGACTCAATTTGGATCATATGAGACGTGACTTATGATTAATTTTGATCATCATTAATGAGACGCGTGATACTTGCGGCAATGGTCAGCGAATCAGTTTTTTCTCCAGTTCGTGCATGAAAGCAATAATGGTTTTTCTTCTATTTTCTATCGCAAAAAAAAAGTATTTAAAATGGTGCGCCAATTTTGTGCACATCACCATTGGCTGGATACAATTAAGATTAATAGAAAATCGGTATCAAGAAATATGTAAATGTATAATTGCTAATTGCAGAAAAGAAAGAAAAACTTTCCACTCATTAACGTTCCATTAATGATTTTGCATGAATGGATTTGGTGTATTTTTGTCTGTGTGTATGATTTTTCATTGAAACAGGTTGGATTCGTGTGTGATGCCCACACACGTTCGAAATCTTACTTTACATAGATTTCCATCCATAGTGGGATTACTTATAATCTCTCTTTCTGTGTGCTCGAAAAATTTCGTTTGGCCCCGTTAATCGTATGTGACGTGATGTGAGGTGATTGACTGGGAATTTTTGTTGATCATAAAAGTGAAATTGCGCCTTATGCAAAAAACAACAACAACAACAACCAAACTAAAACCCGAAAGCGGATGTTTGTGACGATGATTGTTGTCTGGTGGATTGAAAGAAATGTTGTGGCAAAAGATGAATTGAAGTCACGCTGCTTTCGGTATAGATTAATGATATTTTTGTCTGCACTCTTCGACTTAGCGAACCCAAAATCGGCGATGTCGATCGACGGTGACCAAACAATTTTCTCTTGAATGCGCAATAAAAAAAATTCCGACGAGACGAGAGAATGTTGGTGGTGAAATGAATGGGAACAACGAAAAAGGGCAAAGAGACCGATGGACTTGGTTGTTGCCAATGTGTACATAAATCGTAATGAACCACAAACATCACACAAATTACCAACAACAATCATGAAAAAAAAAAACAATACTTTCAATTCTTAATCTAAATCGAAAGCTCTAAATGCTAGACACAATCAAAATCAAATCGAATCAGCCATTTTATGTGATGGTCAGAGCAAAAAATTGCAATATTATGGACGCAGTCGTTATTTAACAGAAAGTAAACAATCAAAACAATGTTGAAATCAATAATTTTATTGCAGCAGAGAAAAGGAAAAAAAAAGCAACACAAACAGACCAAACCCAACCAAATCAAATGAAAAAAAATATGGTTAAATTAAACAAAAGCGCCTAGCGAGAAAGAATTAGTACGTGATTATGCCAATGAAACAGTAAATTGGTTTGATGGATTCATAGATTGTGGAGTCGCCGATTGGTTTGTTTATTTTGTTTTTATTTTTTCATTCGTTTTAACTGTTGAAAGACAAATGAAAAACAAATCATTTACGTCTCGATAAGCTTTTATGCTTAATGCGCACATGAAATAAAAACGTGAAGAAAGCAAATAATAAAATTTGTAATAGTAGTTGCTATTCCATAGCAGAGAATCTAGTTATCGCATTGCTGGCCATTTCATAATTTAGAAACTGCATGCGAAACGGCGTGCATTTCATGTTACTTTGTGCATGTGTAGATGTGTGTGTGTGTGTGTGTGTGTGTGTGTATGTGTGTGAGTGTGTGACAAGTGGAAGAGAAGAAACGATTTTCCAGAATGTGAGCGCCCGTTTCGCCTTGAGTTATGAGGACCGATGAATATACAAAAGTATTCTTCTCCCTCTTTGGCTATCTTTCTCTCTTGCGCTATATCGTTTCTTCGTTTCTTTTTATGCTCGTTTGAAGATCTGTCTGGATTTCTAAACAGAATTCTTATCTAACCAGCTTGGCAACGGCGGCAACAGCCATCATAATGCGAGAAGGAAACAAAAAATTGGTCAAGTGATGTTCGAGGCATGACATGAGGGCAACAAAAATGAAACAGAAAGTAAATTAAACAAAATTATGCACTTGCATTTCTGTTCCCTGCTTCATTCTTGACATCTGTGTTAATATTTTCGATGATTGTGTGAACCGAACGCTAAGAATTCCGCGCATTTTGTTGACATCATTGATTACAAAATGCTCACCATTTCACGCAACACAATTAAAAACTCATATGAACGCATGTGGCTTCAACATCAAATGAGTCATATAGCGTAACTCAAATTAAATTTGATGAAATCATTTTATATATATACATATATATACACATATTTAAGCCAATTTTCGATTTCGCCGAAGCTTTTTTCATTTAAACATAAATTATGCGCAATGGCTTTTTAATTACTTTGTTTTGCTATTCGAGAGCGATGTAGAAAGAAATGTGAGGCCATTTCCGAAATACGCATTTGTAATTGATATCGATTGGTTGTGCATTTGTATTAGTTCGCACACCATTTGATTGGCAGCGATGGGCGACTACACACCATATCATTTCATGCAGTGTGTGGGCAATTTTTCTGTTTGATGCGTGAGCGATTTGAATGTTTGTACTCGCAACTATTTACATTTCTAGTTTGATATTGTATGCGCGTCTCATTCGACACCATAATCATATATCGGTGGCTCAATTCGAAAGAAGTGACTTTTGCAATGCGACGCATTTTAGGGCAACAAACTCCAACGATTCAGTGTGTACGTTTGCACGGTGCAAACGTAATTCACATGTGACTTATTTCTCTCTCTCCCTCGCGCTCCCGTTCGCTGTGTGCCGTTTTGTTTATGCGCGTCACAACCGTTTAAGTGTAATTTATTGACGGGTTGATGATTAATCGATGATATATGTGGTCGAGCACTGGCACAGTTTATATCTCGGCCAAACAATTCATTGCATAAGCGTTATCAAAATTATTATTCATCATTGTAAACGATCATAAATATTTTTTATGCGGACAATGCAGAAAAAAAGCACAAACACACACACACATTCAACTGGGTTTTATCAATCAGTTCACGCAAAAAACACATCTACACACACTAAGTCAGATATGTGCTTATTTTTCGCATCGCATGACTCGATTGACATCGTTCATGATGTAATAATGAGCACACAAAGCATCGTAAACAAAACTCAAATCAATGATGACAATATGGTCCAACTAATGCAGATGATGCTAGCATGTGCGCGTCACACATCCACATGTGGCCGCGTCCATCAAACCATTGTTTTCGAAACAAACTGCCGTTTCCCATTTCACATTTAAATTCAAATTAAAATTTGTTCGTAACATTTAAAAAAGCACAAACGAATTTCGAAACCATCACATTAACGAAAATTTAATGAATTTATTCAATCGCAATCGAAAGATCTACTGCCATCTTGTTTATAAAACTCTAACGCTCGTAACGACCCATTGCCCTGAAAATGTCATTTGAATATGCTGAATCAGTAGCAACTTTAAGTGTCGATTTAATAATAAAAAACTAATTCATCTCTGTTTTTTTTTTCGTGTCCCAACGAGTTGCCTTTTCGAAATAGAGCAATTTTTTCAATGACCCTCTTCCATCTATATCGATGCAAATTAACATCTATCTTATCTGATAACATATTCCGAAACAAACAACTTGACATTTTAAATGCGATTTTTTTTCTGCCTTTTTTTTTCTATTTCAGGAGTGGCTTATTTACAGATATTCTTCTAGTTTTAATAGTATCAATCACATGCGTACAAACCAAAGAGATAAAAAATTCATCCGATTTTCAAGAAATTTCCGCAACAAATCACACATCCACAGTAAATTCATCCTCATCGGATTCCAATTTCAACAACAATCATGCACTCGACAATCACACTTGGTCACATCCATTTACTGACATTTCCTCTACGATAGACACAACAAATATCAGCATTGATATTGACAGCAAACAAATTTCGTCACATAAAAATGCCAGTAGCGATGCACAACTTCCACATTCAAAATATTTCATAAATAATCGTGATCAAATTGAGATTAGCAGCGACAATGAATTGACTAAATCCGAATTGCCAGCACCCATCGAAAGTGAATTTCAATCAAACACCGTCCACACCGAACAAACAACCGAACGAAATGGCAAAGAATCCAATATTTTACGATCTGCATTACGAGTTGCGGCTCGACAAGGTTTAGAGGCTATGACCGAACTGTACGATAAAAAAGAACCAAATCTTATAAGAAAAGGTGAGTTGAACAGAATCATACCGTCGTCCTTTATTCTTCCAAATGACAATTATGTGTTTACTGATATTACGATTAAGATTTCTTTATTCATTTTTTTTCTATTCTCATTTTAAATTGATATGGTGCCGAATAATTGAGGGAAATTGTTGTTTTTTTTTCCTTTCAACGCTTAGGTTTTTTTCTACCAAAAAATCATCCGGGAGCCAAGTTATCCGAATTCAGTTCACCCATATCAGAGGAGGCTCAAAATAGTTCCAAAGCAGCTTTTGCTGCTATTTTTGCCGCAAAAAAACTCAAACACAAGTAAGGCAAACTCTTTCACCTTTTCCTCTCCATCTCTATTCCTTTCTCGTTCGATTGTGACCTAGTCAAAACCGAAAAAAAAAAAATTGTTATATGGCTATTCATTTCTTTTTGGTCGCTTTCAAATGATTTCCACCAATGTGTTAATTAAAGAAGCGAAATCGAAGCCAATCGCATGTAATTGAATGACCAAATAAAATTTGGTCAGTGATCTTCACAAGCAGGTATAGTCTTTTTGCTCGTTGGACAGATTGATGGTGTTTTTTTTTTCTTCTGTCCGTGTGTATCCAATTCCAAAAAGGAATGAAATCCAATCTCACTACGGTTGAATTGAGTGCATGAAGAAGACGAAGAAAAAGAAGCAAGCACTAAATTCAAAGTGAAAGTCACTTAAAACCCTACAGATTTCCCATCGGTTTAAGCATATGCTTTTTTTTTCTCTTTTGACAAGATTAATATGTGAATGATTCAAAAGCAACAAAAAATCAACATGGAAATAAAAAAAAAAATTATAAATGGAATTAGAAAACTATCACTTTCAATACTGAAGGCGCGATGAAACCGAAAATATACACACCATTTGCAGATGAATGAAGAAAAAAATGCGACGAAATGGCCACGAACGTGGACGACCAAAGGCGCTGAAATTATATGTGTTGCATGTCGTTTGGCATTCACGTATATCGGTTGAAGAGAAGAAGAAGAAAAAAACGATGATAATAAACTAGCTTATTGTTTTATCTACTAGTCACCATCACAATAACGGTGCTGTCCAAAAAGTCATGATTTGAATATGATTTTGCAAGTGAGTCGCTTCAATAATAAACAAAGGAAAAAAAAAACAACAAATTCCAACATTTTTTGTTTGAATTTATCGGTGCATTCACGATTTATATGCGATGGAAACCGTTGTTGATGATGTACACGATTCCTCTGGTAAAATTTCATAAAACAAAAGCCTTCAAGCACCGTGTGAATGTGCGGGTTTTCTTCTATGTTGCTGCAGTTGTCTCAAAACGATCGAAACGACTATGGACAATTGAAAATTACCATAGACCATCAAATGATTCGTGCAATGCGAACAAGCAAAAGGAAAAAAGTCGTTAATTCTCTCAACACAATCAATTCAAATCCCAAAGGACTCTTATTCGAACGCGGTACCGATCAACCGACAGACAAAATCGGCGAATCCAATGGAAAATTCTATCAGAAATTTGAAATATTCAAATGAAGCGCGCACGAGAGAGTAGTTATCGTTGTCGTCGTCATCATAATCGCCGTTGTCGTTGTCATTGTCGTTGTCGTCGTCATCATCGCTTAGACCGTCGCCCAAGTAGAAAGTCAAATGATGGAAGATCGAATACCGTTCACATTCTCTTTTCTCATCGTTCGCTCTTTCTCTCACTGGCTCGCTCGTTCATAAGTTCATTTGTTCCAAAGACCCCTTTGAAATGCAAATAATGCTTTCGGTTTGTTTTTTTTAGGTGTGTACTCGTCAAAAAAGGTGTCAAACGTTCAAATTAATTTACACGCGTCTTTTTTTTTCTTTCTCTCACGATGATTGTTATTTTTTGGCAAACAATTAACGGTCAATGTTTTACCAATTCATTTTTTTTTTTCTCGAATGGAATTTGTGCATTTAAAATGGTAAAACATTATAATTAAATTCCACCCAAACATAGAGACATCTTGCTTAGTAAATGGCCAAATCAAACGGCATTCTTTCGCCATGATTTGTCGGAATCGAAATGATTCATTGACAATGTTTCCGCACCAATTTCGACGAAAACAATCGACAAAAATGGCATGATTGACATACTCTTATTCGACACAATAGCGAAATTATGCGTATTTGCATTTTCTTTTTCTCTTTCTTTCTGTTCATCGCTCGTGGTATTCGTTTCGTCTATCCGCGTTTAGTCACGAGCACTGTGTTTGTGGCTAGTACATCTAGGGAACACAAATGGCAAAAATTTGTGGAAATCAAGTCAGGTAATTTTGTCAATTGTACGCAAAATATTTTCGACTCATTCTCTCACTCTCTCGTGCGCACACATACGCCCTGAAATGATGCCGAAAAGAAATGGCTTTGCATTTTGGTAAATTAGTTTTGGTAAGCGGGCTTTCTTTCTGTTTGCAAACATTTAAATTCAATGTTGACTGGAAAAAATTTCCATTTAATTTTCTGCTTCTCTCTGGTTGTTTATACGTTTTTTTTTTTTGGTGCGCGATTTGAATCTGAGAGAGATTTTACGTTGCTTTAGGAAGAAAAGGAGCAATTGTCATATGAAATGGTTGGATATAAATGGTTTTTGATATAGCCACTTATACTCACTTGATAATGATCGTGTATTTTTTTTTTTTGAATAATGGTAAAAAATCGAAAGCGCTTTTCAACTCTTATTTATATATCATTCACGTACTCATTTGGGTCGTTCAACTACTTTTTCTTCTTTTCTTCTTTGTTATCTTTTGTATGCTTGCCGTAAACAAAACAGAAAATAAAAACATGACTATTTTTCCCATCAATATTACCTGCAAAATCGAGACAATCGTATTATTAAATCGAGTGGAAAAGAAAACATACATTACCATTATATTTACTGGTGAGCCATTCGACGCAGACGTTACAAATCAATTGATTTTTGTCGATGAAATCATGAATATGCTTAAATTTCACTGCACTTAAACGAAATTACCTGTTCCAATCCGATACGATTGTTGGCGTCAAACTCTCACTTTGGCGCTTCAGATTCTCGGCAATTTCTGGTTTTTTTTTTTTTTTTTTTTGACAAAGTGCCGTGCTAATCAAATGAAATCGAAATTAAAACCAAAAGCGAAAGTTTTGATGGGATCACATGCTAACACACCTCCTGTATGTACTGCTGTGATGAAAAAAAAAATATATACATGAAATGAAATTAGTTCATATTCACAGAGCCACATGAAGTCAAAAAAAAAACAAACAAATAAACAGAAAAAAAATTGAATCATGTATATTTTATACAGACTGATTAATTAGTGGATTGTCTTACTTTCGATTTCCATGAGTTCTGTGTGCCTTAACACGTTTTTACACACGCCTTGGCACTCTCTCACAATGCTAACACTGCTTACGCATTCATAGCGTATTATCACATATATATATATATTAAATGTGTATGCAAGTGAACAGCACCCAACAGCAGAAAGAGAACGACGAAGAAAAAAAAATGCGCACACACCGGAGTTGTGATCGTATCTTTTTGATATATTCAAATCGACCGAACCTTAAACACACATCAATAATTGTGTCTACACACAATTCGATTTCCTTCGTGGATGGATTCACCAGCCAGCACACGAACGAAGAAAAAAACCACAATATTTATTTGAATATAATTATAGTAATCGGAATTTTATCAAGTTTGCGATTTGATATGCAGTCAAAAAGATTACATGGATTCACAATGCGTGAGTGCGCACGGTGTACGACGCCTGAGCAAAAGCAAAAACAAAACACATACAATACAGAACGACGAATCAAAGCCAAAACATACCTTAATTTACAGAGACTATGAACCATGAAATTATACAACAAATATCTTGGCGCAACAAAACGCAAAGTGAAGAATTGTATGCTATAATTTGCACATTTCAAGCGCATTCAAGTCTTTATTATTATTTTTTTTGCCTTCTATCGAGCAACCGAGCACAGAATGAGTTCAATTATTGGATACAAAGGCGAAATTCGACGCGACTTCCAAATTGATAATTTCGGGGTACTTACGGTGACGACGATGAAGCGAAAAAAAAAGAGAGAAAAAACATTACGGAACAATGTACAATGTACGGAGAAATGTGAACGAATTTGGTTTTGTTATTGTCAAGATGCAAATAAAACATATTCTTATGCCAATTTTGGCGGAAAATGCGGTAAAACGCGTTGCTCATGTAATGCGTATTAGCCCCGCCGCGCATTTCATTGCTCTCTTTTTCGTCCTCTTCTTCTTCATCTTTTGAATTTTATGCAATCCATATCGTTTGCACCAGCTCTGGGAATTCCGACATGTTTTGAGCTCACTTTTCGATTGGTTCTTCACTTTTCTTTCGCCCAATTTTTGCTCTAGCAGGTTTTTCGATGCTGCTGTTGTGCTATGGCTCCTCTTTTCTTCTTTCTTCTCTTGTCAGCGAGTCGAAAAGAAAAACGAAAGTTCCTAATTCGATTCACTATTTCAATACACAAGTAAATTCACATGTGCCGGTTTTTGTTGTTGTTGCTTCTTTTACTCGCTAATTTCATGCAATAAACGGCATATTCTCACAGTTTGAAAATGCTCTCTGTGCAAGCTGATCGAATTTTAGAAAACTTTCTCGAGACCAGTAACAATCAAATTAGCGTTGACCGAAACGCTTCTTTCCTCACCCATTCCAATTGGTTGTTAGAAGACATGGAACATGGGCGCGTGATAGTTGTTGTTTCTTTCTCGTGTGCTTCTTTTGGTTGTTATTACTTTTGATGTTGTTCGACTTTGTATACAAAGCTATCAATTATGTTGAGAATGTATGTACATTTGCGAAGTGATGCTTGATTGTTTTCACTTCTTGAAATGCAGATCACATATTGAAATTTAGCTAAGCATAAAAATCAAATGCGAGCGCCCCTATTGAATTGCCGTTTCTAATGGCATCTCTCTCGCTTACTAGTCTCTCGTTGAAAATTCCAATTGAACTATTACTTGCCATGCGAGAGGTGTTCAGTTTGTTCAACTTTGCAGGCGACACGCTGCTGGGTAGATAGATAGATAGATAGAGAGAGTGAGCCAATATAGAAGCACACGTCGACAAGGGAATAGCAGAAAAAGTCAAAGTCAATTTGCAAATATTAAAAATTAACATAATAATCCGTTGCCAGACCACTGAAAACTCAACAAATTCACTTGGTTTGACAGATTGAAGAAGCGAGAAAAAAAAATTTGATGACTTGCGTCTCATTCATAGTCACGACACGGCGCCTTTGTTGAGCGCGTATGCAGAGAAATTCTTTCATTGGTGATTAAAAGTTCCAAATTGGAGTTAACGAATCATTTTAATATTTATTGTTTATGAATTTGGCGTGTATGCCGTTGTTCATACTTTGTTGTTGTTGTTTCGTTTCTTTTTCCATTCCATTTTATGAAATATAATTTAGTAGATTGGCTTTCTACAGATTGGTGTATGAATTTCACTGTCGTTTTGAGCGCGTGAATCGCTTGTTTCGTTTTAATTTAATTTCTGTGTGAGTATTTGTGTGTTTGTCTTGCATTAATCGCTCCGCTAAGCGAAAGTTGTATTATTATTTTAATAATTTTCATTTTCTTATTGCGGTTTCGATTCATTTTTTCACGTTGAGCACTTCTGTTTGTTTTCGTCAGTTGCCATTTTGCTTCTTCTTCGTCTAGTTTTGCTGGTGGTAAACACATTTTCACGATTGCCGTGTAAGGTCAGATGACATTACATCGGTCGTGGATGGCTTTGGCTTTGGCTTTGATGCTATTGCACTTATATCTAGAGAAAGTGTTTTATGAAAGACAAAACATGAATCGCGCGACCGAAACCCGCACCGCGCGCACAACAATAATATTATCAGCAGTAGCAGCAGCAAAGCATAACAGCAGCTGTTACCATTTTTCCCATTCGTACGGTTGTTTCGTACGGACCGGTGGTTGATTGGTGCCGGCATTCATTTTCATTTGCCACTGGTGAATCGCACTGAGTGTGTGGCAAAAAAACAACGGGACAGAGAGAAAGAACGAAGGAGAGAGAGAGAGAGAGAGAGAGCATCCAAATGGCAAATGTATAAATTCAAACAAAACGCTTAACGAAACTTGATAAAATAATGCAATTTTTTATATGCAGCACGTACGTAGACACACACACACGCTCAGATTTTAATCAGCTTCAGTTTGTAGTTTAGCTAAAACTCGTCTCCATTACATCTATTTTAATTGTGATCTGTATCTCTTTGGTCGACAGCTCATGCGTTAGTCCAATGTGTAGATGGCATTTGACAAACAATGGTTTCAGCACAACAATGTGGTATGCCATTGTGATGTGTGTTTTCCACACATATCCGATTGTCCACTGCATTGAACGACTGATAGTGAGTGAGAGTGAGACAGAACGCATCACACACAAAATGCAAACCGATTCCGTTTAATTAAATTTAATCAAAATTAAAAGAAAGCGCTTCTGAAACTGATAGTGGTCAACCCGTAATGAGGAAATTGGCTTTTGATATGAATCGCATTTTCGCTTTTCGCATTGTGACCGATGTCAAATTATCTATGAATGGTTTCATTTCATGCATAATTCAATATGCGAATCAGTCCCAGCCAGAAATATACAATACTATGCTCAACACGTGCACACACAAATGAGATGAAAAACGAGAAGGGAAACCAAAAACAACAACAAGCTCAAAAGTAACAAAATATGCGAAGAGGAAATATCTCTTAGAAAAATGGATTCAGTAGTAGTAGCAGCAGCAGCAACAGCAACAACAACAACAACAACGATAATGAATATCGTTTGTTAGAATTGGCTCTCCAGTTGTTCCACCCCAATGACGATCGTGCACAACGATTGCACTATTTCATGGTCAGTTTACAAAGCAGAGCCATTCCAAATGTAAACAATTCGCTTAATCGAAAGGAGCTAATACGAGCAAATTAATTCTGTGCCAAATATTTCGGAATCAATTTAGATTATAGTGTACCGATAAGCATTTAGAGCATAATGGGTATGTAATGGATTTGTTTTGATTTCGTTTCGGTTTTCGGTGATATTTTTATGTTGTTTTCGCTTCGCTTCGCTTCTTCCTTGATTAACTTATCGAAACATGTAGCATTTGGTCGAAGATTTGGCATTCAAATAAAAAAAAGTGATCATGAAATCATGAAATCAACGTCATTCGCGTGGAACAAATTGGGAAAAGAGTTGATGTAGAGTGAACGGGTTTTTCCTCTTAATCGTTATCGGGTTTGAAGGACTTTATTCGCTCATTAACTCATATAACAGACACATCTTCCGTGAGAAGAAGCATAAAGCTTACAATTTTTATAACGAACAACAGCAACGGCAACAGTAGTCACAGTAACTGCAGAAGAAAAGAAAAACTGACAATTAATGCGAAATGCAATCTAATGCTTAAAATATGTAACAACATTATTCGCGGCTGCAGAAATGAACAATCAAATAAACCATATGCATTCTTTGGTTGAAGCTTACATAAATTTGTTTCCTTGTCGATATCTTGTTCAATGCGCAACTTCTCACGGAAACCACACGTATTCCAAACGCATAATAATCTGAGTATGTAAGAGAGATTATGAAAAAAAAAACTACAACAAGCACACATACACACAGCCATCGCAAGGAATTATCATTATGTCTGAATGGAAAAACCGAAAATAGTAAAACAATACTTTACATACTCGTGTTCGACATTTGATTTTGGTAATGTCATTTCCTCATTTCCCACGGTGTAACCATCCAATTCCCAATCGAAGAGAACACGAAAATGGTGTTATTCATTCTTCAATTTATTACATATCGATGAAACAACATTTCACCGAAAACGATTTAGTCACATCGCATTACAATGGCGCAGATTTTTTTTCTTCTTCTTCAACTTCATTTCGTTTCTGCTTTTTTTCCCTTTCTTATTGTTCGCCCTTTTTTTATGTTCAATTTTCGGAATGCCGCTTTCCAGTGAATCACACCGAAAAAGGTGCCCGCTACCTGTTGCTCTCTATAATTACCAGCGGATTTTCATTTTCACGCCATTACCAAAAAAAAAAAAGATTCATGACTTATTTTGAGCGTACACCAACTGGCTTGATAAATTGCCCGATCACATATGGCTTTTGACTGGTTTTTTTTTGTCCTCAGTTCTGGCTTAGAGAAAGCTTTATCAAGCAGTGTTGAAAAATGCAAGTTTCCAACCGAAAATTTGTATGTGCCGCATGTACACACATCCATATTTTATATAAATTTATCATTTATTCACGCAAAGAATCCAAGAAAAAAAAAATGAATTGCGCTGTCATAAATCGTTGGCAGATTTAAAGCAACTGTTCACCCTTTTACTGCAATAAGCGAGCAAAGGAAAAACTGTTGCCAATTTAAAATTTACAACGAATCTCGATGCGGTTAGAAAAAAAAGAAGAAGAAATTGCGGGATGATGACGATTAAGATGAAAACACTTTCTCCTTCGAAAAAGACGAGTTTTAGCAAAGCTCTTCGAATAGCTGCAGCTGCAACGGCAGCCGAGAATTCGCACATACCAAATCCAGATAGTTGAATAATTTCATCATAAACAATAACACTCGAAATATAAACTACTTTCATGGAAAAATTTCTCACTGCCATGGTGCACCAGCCGCGGCAGCAACGGCGGAGCTTCGTGGCATTTTTCATTGTTGATTTTTCGTTCATTCAATTGTTGCTTCTGATTTGGCTACTGCTGTTGCATGCCATTAAATTCCGTTTTATTCGTGATTTTACTTCTGGATGTGTACATCATCACGCTGTCTGTTTTCCGTTTGATAAATTCATGTAGCTGGAAATTACATCGCGTTTATTTTACGGACGTTAGTAAATAAAGAATCATTTTTTTTCTAGCGTTCAGTGGATTTTCTAAGCGATAAGCCATTAAGCACCAAAAGACCATCCAAACAATTTTCGCGACCATTGAAAAAATCGAAGCATGCAGCAAATGATGGAAATTTAGCTGAATGAATTGTGCGCTGACTGGCTGGTTTATTGTATCTCTCTCTCTCTTTCTCTCCCGTCTCTCCCACCGCCGTTCGTTTGCTCAGTCGTTCGCACTCTCGCCCAACATTGCGAGATTGTGTGTGTTTGTGTGTGTCTCTTCAATTGGAAGCGTGTGTTCACACAAAGGTCGACCGAACCATTCAGTTGAGTTGAGCTGAACTGAATGTTTATGAGTATGAGCCAAAGCTGCGATTCCACTTTCTCCATACTTTATAAATAACAGCAGCAAACAGTGTATAGTATTTAAACAGCTTTAAACTGTTAGTTCAGACGGATGTGCGTTGCGCTTCGTTGAAATAGTTTTTAAAATGTAACGAAAAAAATGAAGAAATAAATCGTGCGGCCGACGAAACGAGAGTTAAATGAATTTGCTTCTCTGGTTCGACTCGTTCGATGTAGCGATCAATTTATTTCGTTTTTATAAAGTGAGTTGTTGTGGTACAATACTAGAGGACAGCAGTAGCTGTTTTTTTATTTTTAAATGAAACAAATGCAATAGCTTTAAAAATACCAATCATATTTTAAAACGCATATATTGTGATATTATTGCAGTTGAGCTTCTTTGGATTTGTGTTGGACGATTGGTTTTGATGATTTATTCTGTGTGTGTGTGTGTGTTTTTTTTTTTAAGAAAAGAGATATATGATTCAAATATTCAAAAGTGATAACGGAAAAAATATTCTTTTTGTGATTTATTTCAGTCTAAATATAGACTTTTCGGAGAAAAGCCGTCAGACACCACCGAAAATTTCGTTGCGTCGGACATCGTTGGAATCATTTTGTTCACCACGAGAACAACCATTTTGCTCGCCGCTTACACGACGATATCGAACACACGATGGCACATGTAATAATGCAAGGAAAGGACGTTGGGGCGCCGCCAACATGCCATTCAATCGTTTTCAGTCACCCGCCTACGCGGATGGCATCGAAGAGTTGCGGCAATCAACTTTAGGCGGACCATTGCCATCGCCAAGATTCATCAGTCTCATGGTGCACGGTTCAAAGGAAAGCGATTCACCAGTCACATTGATGCTAGCACAATGGGGCCAGTTCGTCGATCATGACCTAACTTCTACATTACAACCGAGGTGATTATTTTTCTCTCATTAAAAATGATTTCAAATTCAAATGTTATCAACACATCGCAAAAACTATGAACAGTTTCATTTCCTGCATCGATTAAATACTCATCCATTATTTTCGTCTTTTTTTTTTTCAGATCAGTAAATGGTTCTGTTCCACAATGTTGTGGCGTTAGTGAGCTACATCCATCGTGTGCTCCGATCAGAGTTCCAACCGATGATCCATGGTTAGCTCCATTTGGGATTCGTTGCTTGGAATTTTTGCGATCAGCACCAGCTCAACGACGTGATTGTTTGCTGTCATGGCGTGAACAAACGAACCAAGTCACTTCATACTTGGACGCCTCCACCATTTACTCAAGCAGCGAAAGAAGTTCAGAACGATCGCGTCTATTTACAAATGGTTTACTGTTGTATGGTCGTGGGCCACCGAGAGATGATGTTTGCCTACGTGGTGCTTTAGCCAATCAATGCATTCGAGCGGGCGATTTGCGAAGTGGCGAGCAACCTGGCCTATTAGCAATGCATCATACATGGGTGTTGGAGCATAATCGAATCGCAAACAATTTGGCTGACATGAATCTACACTGGAGTGATGAAAAAATCTACCAAGAAACTCGACGCATTATTGGAGCAATGGTGCAACATATAACATACCGTGAATTTTTGCCTTTGGTCTTAGGCCGAGAAGTGTGCAAATTGTTTGACTTAGAATTACAAAACACTGGCTATTACACGCAATACGATGTACGCACCAATCCAACCGTGGCCAACTCATTTTCAGCAGCTGCATTCCGTTTCGGCCATTCACTCATACAGAACACTTACATGAGGAGCACACGGAATCATGAATTTTTAGACAATAGTAAGTGTTTGAAAAATAATTTTCCAATTTTGCGCCCACCTTCTGAAACACATTGAAGTGTTTTGTGGAGAAAGCATCTTTAAAACAATCTTTTTTAAGACAGTTTACAAGAGTTTGTTTACCACATGAAATTCAATGTACTCATCAAAGTGTAATTAATTTCCAATAGATGTAACATTACATGAAGAAAATTTCAACGGTGACATTGGTAGCGCTGGATCTTTGCATCGATTGCTCAGGGGATTATCCATTCAACGGGCCCAAAAACGAGACGAATTTATTACGGCCGAGCTCACAAATCATCTGTTCCAATCTGGCTGTAAGTGTTGATGAGCTTTTGAAATGAGTTTTCAGTAATTATTTTTCTTTCGGTTCGTTAGCCAAGGCAAATTTACGAGAATTGCTGTTCTTTCTCTTTTTTTTTTGGTGAATTTATTTCTTAGCATTCCCATTCGGTTTGGATTTGGCGGCGATAAACATTCAACGAGGTAGGGATCATGGGCTGCCTGCATACACTCAGTGGAGGGAACCGTGTGGTTTAACAGCAATAATCAATTGGGACGATTTAGAGCGAGTTGTCGGGCCAAAATCCGCGAATCGCATGCGTTTAGCGTACAAAAGTATAGACGATATCGATTTGTTTGTAGGTGGTTTAGCTGAGCGGCCAGTTGTTGGTGGTTTAGTTGGACCTGTATTTGCTTGCATTATTGCGCAGCAATTTAGCAATTTGCGTAAAGGTGATCGTTTTTGGTATGAAAACGGTGATATCGAATCGTCATTTACGCCAGCTCAGCTTCAATCGATTCGGCAAGTGAATTTGGCGCAGGTGATATGCCGAGCGCTCACCAGTGGAACATTGCAGCCGCACGTATTTTTGCCACACACTGTGTCAACGAATGAACGACAACTGTGTGGCACAGGTAGCTTAACTCCGATCGATCTCAAGCCGTGGTTGGAACGAGATCCATTCTTAAAAAATACTCAAAGTGCAAACGAGTCCACGGTGAAGGTAAACAATGGCCAAGCGATGAAACCGCCGCACATTCAAACGATCAATGCGAATGAAAAAATTATTATCAAATTAGACCTCCCACAATCACAGGACAATCCAATTGACATACGTAACGAAGACGAACTATTTAGTGTAAACGGAACCGTTGTCAATAACAAACTTGACCTAGACACCACTCGAAGCCATGCCACCGTTCTAAATCGACTACCAATCGATGTGACAAACAAAATTAACACACGACCAAAGACACAAACAAACAAAAAACCAAAAACGACAATGACAACAACAACGACCATCCGATCACCGACAACAAAACGGACAAAAAAACGAAATAATAAAAATCACAACCGACGCAAACATAAACGAGACGTGACAAATGATGATACTGTTGTGAAAGCTCGCAGTTCAATCGTTATAAAAATTGACAAACCGACTGAAGACGGTGTGAGTACGCATAAAACGCCATTTAATGGCGCTACTTCAAATAACAAACGACGCATTGACAAAGAAGATTCGCGAAAGGTGCTTGGCAAGGAATATGTAATTGTAACACCCGATCAAAATGCCTTTGACATTGAGATCAAAATCAAGCCAAAACCACCGAAAAACGAAAAAATTATTGTACCGACAAATGCAAATGGCCAATTGGCTGACGTTCATGCTACATATTACAATGATTATGCGACAGCGACGGCGACGACAACCAAACGTCCTCATCAATTCTATCAAATTGCACAGCCATCATTTTCAGATGGCGGACAGTACGGTGTCAGTGCACAAGACGAAATTATAAAACCACAAAAACCGACCTATGACGAAACATACGAAACGATATACAACGGACTTATTGTGAAACGGACTACGACAAAAATACCAACGACAACGGCAAAGACGACGACAAGACGCCCATACGTTATTTACAATGTGCAACAGAACGAATACACTCCTGACACATACTATACGACCAAAAAACCATATTACACGACAAAACGGCCGTTCTTTAGCTACGGCGAGTCGAACATTCAAAATGACGATAAACCATTCTATTCATATCCGACTGTTCAAAATACAGACGCCTCCAGTTACTATTCTTCGAATAATGCGAATAACAATAATGATAATAATAATCATGATGAATTCGTATCGTCCATTCAAAATTCGAATCCATACCAAACGAAGCCACAGCACAATCCACCGTATCTGAGTCGACCGAGTGCTACAAAACCATCATCACTCAATAATCATAATTACGGACAATTTGATGACGACGATCATACACACAATGTACGACCTCAAAATAATTATCAAAGCTCTAACTATTATGGGCCAATTTATCTAGACGATTTTTCGACAAAACCACCTGACAAACTCACAACAACATTTATCGTTCATTCGGATGATGAAGAGTACTTGGATACGGGCTACGGTGGCTCAGGTTCAGTAACAACAAGTCGACCACACGATTTTACGACATTTTATACCGTGCAAACAACACGAAAAAAGAAAAAAACCACTAGACCGACAAGAAAACCGAGACCAACACGACCGACACGACCAATACAACCGGCTTATGGCCAAAATGACGAAGACGATGAAGACGAGGACGATGATGACGATGGCTATTTCAATCCAAGTTCAGTTTTCTCGAATCTTGTGAGCACATTCAACGGCTACTTTGGATCGGGAAGCACAACGACACGGAAACCATATATAACGCAACAGGACGAGAATTTTTATACATATCCATCGTTACCCACAAATGATTTCCCATACTCACGCCAACCGAGCAAAAAGGGCAATGATGATAATGATGAAGAAGAAATCGAACGATCAAAACACGCACGTAAAAGACGCAACAGTGACATTAATGACGATTACGAACAAACCACATATCCGGCAGCCGTTAATGTTAACTATAACGATGACATTGCCGATGACTCAGTGATTGCGTTTGATCGCGATGGCTACCTAAGACCCGAATACATGAACTACGATTCACATACTAATGCAAAACTTTACTTTGACGTAAACTCAAAAATTGACACACGACACTTGCATACGTCCAAAACACACGAAATAACCAATGTAACGAGATATCAACCACCATTCAATGATTATCGTGTACATTATTTGCTCAACGGACACTATGAAAATGCGAGACATCACAAACAAATTACCACACTGACCGACAATAACCGAAACAGAGGACAATCCGTTCGCATCGGAGTTTCAGACATCAATCAACCAATTGGTTTGATCCCATTAAATGTCCTTACCAAACCCGAAAGGTAAACAATTCAATTGCTTGGATGAAAAATAAATTGTATTGACTTGAAAGAAATTGAGCATTTTAAAATGAAAATAAAGAAGAAAATTGCTTGCAAAAAGAACATGAAAAATCAATTAATAAAAAAAAAAACTTAAGAAAAATGAAAGTAAATTTAAATTTTTCGATTTATTCTTCTTTTATTTTCAATATTTGGTTAGGCCGGATAATTGGGTTATGTACGATGCAATGCACAAAGTGCCGTTGCCACGAATGCCACAAATCACATCCGAATATGAGGAGAATAGCAACGAAATGCCACGGCCAATAGCTATCCAACGAAATGCGCCAGCTGCCTAAACACACTTCTTAGACATTAAGCATTCCTTATTTTCGATTGCACTGATTTATTTAATTCTCTTGGTTCTCTCTTGTTTGTCCATATTTTTTATCTCTACTCATTAATAATTCTTTTTTTTTATCGTTTCTTTTCATTTTTAAATATACCGTTAACATGCACAAACATATTTCTACTATATTTTGTTTTGTCATATTTTCAATTAAATTATAATACGTTACATTTATTGTATTTTCCTACATGAGAATGTATTATTCGTTCTTTATTGCATTAATTTAAATACACACACATTATCCACATGAAATGAAAGAGAAAAAGAAGAAGAAGCAGCAGCAGAAGGAAGAGAAGTGGGAAAAACACGGAAACTGCGATTTATAATTACTATTTAATTTGTTTTCTTATCTTTATTATTGTCATTAATTTATTGAATAACTCAAAATACATACTTTTTTCAGTTAAAATTGTGTGCGTTTTTTCTTTGAATTTTATTTTATTCGTTTTAATGGAGTAACACCTGTAACGAAAGTCTTGCGACAAAGATTTTGTGTCCGCATTCGGTTAATTCTCAAAATATTTAAAATCGTATGCCTAGATAATTAAGTTTGATTCCTTAGCATTCGATAGAAACCACCGTGGAGTCTATATGAACCATATCTTCTAACTTATAGGACAAAACATTGAGAGCTGATTTGCTCATTTTTATTGCATTTTTGCAAATTTGTCATTTTTTTGAAATTTTGATGACTGAAATAAAACTCAGAGTACAATGAAAACAATATTCACCACTTGAAATATCTTTAGATAGGTCTAAGAGAACTTTTTCAGCTAAAAATCATCACAATTTTCTATAAATAATGGAGAGAAAATCGAGAAAATATGATTTTTTGGCCGTCCAGGTCTTAAATTTTTTTTCCCAACATTTTACGCTCTAGGTCAGAAAGTATCGTTTACTTCCACCCTAAAAGCGTTTCTCTTTTACGTTAGGGGACCCAACTAAATGATTCAATCATCTGTATCTATCTTACTTTGAAGATAAAGTATAATTTCGAGCCTTCGAATTTGTCGCAAGACTTTCGTTACAGGTGTTAATATGAAAGAGTCAACAGAAAGTATTTACTTCAATCGAATAACGAACCGGTAAAAATTTGAAAAAAATCATATACTTCGTAAGTGCCACCAAAAATGTGCAAAAAAAAAAAACAGATGATTCGAATTCGAAAATGGCGGCAAATATTCGAAAGCGGAACTTTGACAGCTGACGTCAGTTGAGCGCCAACAGAAATTTAAAGAAATTTGACGGTGTTGTTTTGATTCTTCATTATACTCAATGTTGTTCGATAATTGTCGTTTCCAAGATGGATTTAGCGTGCAGCTACAAGGAAAAAGATTTGTTAGACCTTTCGTTTTGTATTCCTGAAGAAATTCAGTTAATTTTAGCTGGGAGTAAGTTTGTATTATTTCCATCAACTGAAGTTGACAAATTGCGTGACTAAAGGTTGATTTCATTTTTTTTTCAGAGAATTTAACAACCGTTGGTAAAGTATTGAAAACATCAAAGGTTGATTTAATATCATATGGGTTAACTGAAGAAGAAGCTGATATGGTAAAGTCCAGCGTTTCGGTAAATGTTCCCTGCACAACCTTCATGACAGGTTAGATTCAAGTGAATATCACTAGTAAATAGGTTGTAAGCATAAAGTTTTGTTTTTATTTACAAGTACTCGAATATTCGTCAATTTTGGCAACAAAATGGCGACATATTACATTCCGATGTCCGGCCTTAGACAGAATCACTTGCAACGGTCTGCCATTGAGAGGAATCACGGAAATTGTCGGCGAATCTGGATGTGGCAAATCTCAAATCTGTTTACAATTGGCTCTCAATGTCCAATTATCACTGGCGGATGGTGGTTTGGGGAAGTCAGCCGTTTACATTTGTACAGAAGATGTATTCCCTTCAAAGCGACTGGTTCAAATAGCAGAATTCTACAAGAAGGAGTATCGATACGATAAATGGCTTGATAACATTTTTATTGAACACTGCCCTGATTCGGTAAAAATGTGATTACTTGAAGAAAAAAAACACTGTAGATTTATGTAAAACCATTCTACAATCTATTTTTACTCATAGGATAATTTGATGAATTGCATTTGTAATCGATTGCCTATATTGATGAATAAACACTCCATTGGCTTGGTCATCATTGACTCTATTGCGGGTGCATTTCGAATCGACGGTGATGCAATCATTCGTGCTGATAACATGCGGAAATTAGTTTTCAAACTTCAAGAACTGGCGGATGAACATGAATGTGGCATTGTTTGTGTTAATCAGGTAATTGATTAATTCTTTCCTTCATTTCATTTTTTCCACTAATTTTCTAAATTATGAATAAAAAAATTCAAACGATTCCACTGTAAACCATTTTTTGAACCAAATCATCTTCAGGTGACTGCTTCGATGAATGAGACTATACGGAACAGGTGTGTACCCAGTTTGGGTCTTGCCTGGAGCAATTTAGTTACAACTCAGTTGAAAATTCGAAAAACTTACAAGCAAGTATCGAAACTGGAGGATTCAACAATTCTAAGCACTCCAATCAAAGTACGGAGCATAGAAATTGGATTCTCACCAGAGCTACCAAATTCATTTGCCGAATTTATCATTACGGAGCAAGGGATATGTGATGTGCCGAGGAATTAATGGCACTAGCAAAACGCACAATTATATTTTGTATATAATACATGTAAAACAGTAGAAAAAAAACCGTTTATTTTAACCACAAAGAAAACATGTATCATTTTAAATCATCCAACATGAAAAAATCCAGCACCAACTGATTTTGCTTTGTACTTTTTCTTCATTTTTTAGCCTACTAGTGCTGAATACCATTTTTTGCTTTCCATGCACCGAGGGTTCGTACACTTTGGGCATCGCATTGTGAATTTTGGAGTAAACTTCTCATTAGATTTTAGATGTTTGGAAACAATATCCGACAGCGCATTGATAAACAGCGGATGATCATTTGGTGCAGCTGCTCTTCGGATTTTCTCAGCGCCAACCTAAAAATAAAATCGATTTATGTTGAGTGAATTGATTCTGAATTTTTAATTTATTTTAATGTAATGATGTCAAACTCATTTCATTTGATGCAAATGTATTGCAACTAAAAATAGTTGAATTGCGTAAAATTACCTCTTCAGCCAGCTCATGACAGTACTCAATGTCCAATTCATGTAGAGTTTCAATGTGCTCATTCACGAATGCAATGGGAACAATAACAAAATTCTTCTTGCCCTGTTTTACGAAGCCCTTTGGAATGTACGAAAATATGTGTTATTATCTCTATTTCACAATTAAACATTGCAGTGTTTGAAACTCGATTACCTTAATGGCGTCATCGGTAAATGGTTCAAGCCAAGGCAATGGTCCAACTTTTGATTGCCACACTAAACTGTACGGATTCGACATTTTCAACTCATCCATCACCAAGGCAACAGTTGCTCCAACTTCTGATGGATATGCATCACCTCGATTCACTGCCTGGAAATGCGAAAAAAATCCAAATTTAATTTTCTCTTAACAGTTTTCAAAATGAATAGCAGAAGAAGGAGAAGAAGAAGAAGAAGAATAGTATAAAAATGCACTAAAACTAAAAATCATATTGAAAATTTACGAGAACAATTCAATTGATCGTACTCTCAATGGGAGTGAATGAGCCGAAAATAGAATGATAACATCTTTTCGTTTGTCTTCTGGAAACTGGTCGAGCTCTTTACGAATGTTATCGGCGAATGTTTTGATAAGAAATGGATTTGTCGACCATCGATCGATGACACTCCATTTGATGTGTTTTGGTAAATTTCTAGAAAATTCAATGTCAACGATTTTTATTTGAAATATTCAATGGAAATTGTTGTTGCTGTACTGATAACCAACCTCTTTCGATAATGATAGTAGATCGAATTGAAGCTTGAACCAGATGTTGCACAGCTATACTGTGGATATTGCGAGAAAATAACTACACGTTCAGGAGTATCTTTTTCAATTTGTTCAAGTGTGTCTTCGGTAAATGGGTTTACGTATCGAAAGCCAACGTAATGCTTATGTGGTGCTGTCTCTGGTGATACTTTGTCGAGTTCTTTGCACATTAATTCACCTTGCAGATTTGTCCACTTGAGAATCGGTGAGCCACCTCCAATTTCCCTATATTTCTTCTGCACTTCAGGCGTTCGACGGTTTGCGATCCATGGACCCAATTTTCCTTGGAATGGCAACTGAATCATATCACGATCAGTCATAATGCGAAGTAAATAATCATGAACTTGATCGGTGTTTTGAGGGCCACCCATATTTAAGAGTAATACAGCGGTTTTTGGTTTAACAACACCGAAGCTATAGCATCGTGACAGCATTGCAACTCTTCCTATCAGAGATAAATTAATGAGTGAGGTGGATTTATCAGGTTTTAAAAAATCATATTTTAATTATGTTCTTACGTGATAAATTTCCAAATTGCGAATTCATTGTTTCTAACACCTTTTTTATCAGTCTAAATCATGGACTATTCATTGAAGTCGACGGTATTTGTAATTTTATGATAGGTACAAATACAACCACAAAATACATGACATTTCACATCAGTTGTTGTCCCAAAATAAGATTTTGGGACAAAACGTATCGTGCATTTGAGTAGCAAGCTATTTTCAACCCAAATAATATGGTAGTAAAGAACATTTTCGATGACAGTGCTATATTGGCGCGAAAAAAACTCACCAAACACGGAGATCCAGTTGAATATCCAGTTTCCGAACAAATTCAAGTGTTATTACTTTTATTGCTCATTTTAAAAGAGTTTTACAATTTTGTTTGCTGAAAATGTGCAATTAATCGCTGCAACCTTCTCCAGAGATGACACAATTTTTTTTTCATTTTTTCTTTTGTAAAAAAGGCATTGTGTTCTATTTTTAACAGTAATTTCCAATGATTCAAATTATCGATGTAAGATGTAACTAGGTTAAATGCGATTAAAAATCAATAGGCTATCTAAGTAAATAGCCGTGTGTCGGGCTTCTTTTGATTCCTCGATTATTTCGCAAGACATATTCAAATGTTGACCGAGAGGCACATTGGTCGATATGAGAATTTTGTTTCGAAATTGAAGTCACTAACCGTATGGTAAGTGCCACATCGATAAAGTCTAGTTAAAGAGTGTATATGATGAATATCCATTGAAATGAATGGAATGTACGTGCTTGTAATATAAATGAATGCATAACGGCACCACCATTATGGGAACTTCGACAAATTGTCTCAAGGCAACCACATAATCGTTCACTATTTCGGGGAAGCGTCAGTCAATACTTGATTTATTTTTACAATTCAATTTCATTTGCATATGGTCTTTGTCTCCATTAATTTGATCGCGTTGTGTGTGCACTGCGAAATTACGATTTCGTTTTATTTGTCGTTTCGCATGCGACATGATAAAGTGATATCAATTTGATGTGCCAACTGGTCGTTTGCCGGATGAATGAGATCTTGAACGAAAAAAAAATCAGAGAACCATTGATCAGGTATAATCAATTGCCGGTTTATATACGTATTATAAATATATACCAATATCCGATAAGAGTGAGTAAATGATGTAAATGAAAGAAATGATGTGTGAACCAAGCGAGAGAAAAAAATAATCAGCCAACAACAAAAAAGCATGTGTGATGTCATAAATGTGGCGCCAATTTGTCGCTCCTTTTTTGCACATGGTCGGTTTTCATTTCTTTTTTCAATGAACTGTGTACACCACATCCTCCCGGTCGGTTCTCTCGCTCTCTCTCTCTCTCTCTCTTTTTCTCTCTCTTTTGAGAATTGAAATCGACAAATACACAAATCGCGCGAACATCAATGCACACGATTGGAAAATTACTAACTGTTGACCCACTCAACGCACATAAACAGAATTTACATTCATGGAATTTTTCCACTGAGATTTTGCAAAATAATCAAAATACAATGCAAACAAGTGTATCATCGACAATGTACCAACAATTATACGATAAACAATGAGATGGATTCAATTTATAGCCGTCTTTCTCTCATTCTCGCAAGCGCGCGTGCAAAATGGGACCGATTGAGATCATTGCACAGCATAATTACCTTTTTTTCCTACATTCAATTGCGATACTGGAGAGCGGTTTTTGCCACCCACTTAAAGCAACTTCGTCTGTATTTACTTTCTGGATTGACATGAACAAATAGACATTTCGTCTCTGTTTTATATTTTATTGTTTCTTTTCATTATTCATAAACGGTTGAACGGAATTTTTGACGAAGTTACAGTGGTATTAATGAAAAATGAAGACGAGTTATTTCGGACGGTAGCAATAGCATTTCAAACCAGCACACGCTTTGCTTTCAGCAACATTTTTACAATGTGAAAAATTGGCAGTTATTCGCTGCAGCCATTGAGATACTGGAAAATTATTGCATTCGTGTGAGTGTATTCAGCAACACATTAAATTTTTTTTTTTGTTGAAAAAATTGGATTATGTATGGTGTTGAATGCAACTGTTGTTATTTTTAACATTATCAAAATCATTAATCCAGCGAGTGTTTGTACGGATTTGAACCGTAGAAAGTTCACATTGTGTGAACATTGAATACGTTGAAGGGAGTAAAAATGTTTGTAGAAAGCACAATCAATCGAAACGTTTGAATAAAAACAAAAGAAAAAAAGACGTGCACCGTAATTAAGTCATTCATATTTGATGGATGCTAGTGTATTTGGATGTGTGTAAACGATTTCCAATTCTTTCGTTTACACATCCTATTATTGTTCTCAATGAAATGTACTGCAAATCGAGAGTGAAAAGGCAATATGATTTTGATCCCGTCGTCTCAACCGACGACGTGGTAAACTACCGTTAAATTATGTGTATTGTGTACGAACACAACTCACAATGTGATCATGTGTTTTATCCCATAGTGAACCGAACGAAAAGTCGACAATACGCAAAAGCAAATATATAACATACGATAGTATCGCATGATGTGCCCGGTTTTAGGGTGGATAGATTTTTAATTGGGTTATTTACACTGTGTATGTGTTTGTTGAACACGAGAGACTGATTGTTGTTATACTGATTTGTTCTTAAGATGAACTTAAAATTACGCATGAACTCAGTGTTCGATGTGGTAATAACATTAAATTCAGTTTATTTTTAGAAAACATACGTAAAGTAGACACAACTTATGGCATCAAGCGGATGTATCAATTTCCTGCGACTTTCACGCACATTCTCCTTGTAATGGGAGGAGAAATTTGTTCAGAAATTTGAAACAGTTTAAAGTTATTTCTCTGAAAAAGTTCACAAAATTGGCTATTTTTTGAGAGATTCAGATATTGACGCACTCTAATGTTCATATAGCCATGCAACTGTGCCGACACAGTGTTTGCGCATTCCCAAACATGTGTCATTTGAAGCGTATAGAACGATGGTTGCGTTGGTATGTATGGGTATGTATGTCGGTAAAATGGTAGTATATGTGTGTGTACATGTGTGTATGTGTTCGTATGACGTATGTGTCAGAGAGTCTTCTGTTGATCGTATGTTTCTGTGCCGCTTTGTCGAACCAAATTCATTCAAATGGTATTTCATAGTGTGTCGCTGGGAATCGACAATTCACTTTACTTGTTGTATTAAGTGTGTGCGCGTTATTTTTTCGGTTGTCACAACAATCAAACTGTGAGCTAAACATTGTATTTTCGCTGAGAATTCGACTACAGTCGCTTATTTTCATATAATCGGTCAGACGTGTTTCAACAGCAATATTGCACACATAAACGAGAAAGAAGAGAACACGAATGTGTTCAGTACATTCTTATATAGATGTTTTGTTGTTTACACAAATAGATCGATAAAAACATGTTACGTTTTTAGTGAAATAGAGAACATTTTGACGTTACTACGACCCACCGAATCGTAATGATAAAATAAAGCGCGGATTAATCGTTGTTTTTCATTTCAAGTTGTGCGGTTCATTCGTTTTGTTTCATGTTTTGTGACCGGCTTTCTTCTTTTTAGGTTTTACATTTCGCGTCGATCTCAAAACGAAATTTCGGTAAAAAGAAAACCCTGAATAAAAAAAAAAAATTATGTGATCATCTTAGTCGTGAGGCTGATAACGGTTGCGAAAAAAGTTTAAATCACACACAGATATAGACAATATTAGGCGATAGACTTCCTTTTCCGGTGATTACCCTTATCGAAGCCCAACGGATTTGTGACATTTTACGGTGTGACGTGTATTGCGGTAGTGAAAGAAAAAAGGAGGTTGAGCAATGGCTTATGAGGATCTGTTTAAATACATTGGCGACTTCGGTCGTTATCAGAAACGTATTTATTTTTTACTATGTTTGACCGCAATTCCATGTGGTTTCCACAAAATGGCGAACGTATTCTTAATGGCAAGGCCTGATCATCGGTGTCAGCTTCCATTTGAATTCAGCAATGCATCGTACAACGTTCCATCGGACCAACTGCGAATGGAATATCCATTCGATAAAATCGCGGGAAATTATTCGAAATGTGAACGATTCGATGTCGATTTCAGTGAGGAATATTTTAAATCGAATACAACGGCAAACCAAACGATTGCCTGTGATTCATACATATACGATTATTCGAAGTACAAAAGTTCAACGGTCATTGAATGGACTATGATATGTGGACGGGCATGGATGCGAGCAACGGCTGATGCCTTATTCATGGTGGGAGTGTTACTTGGAAGTATTATATTTGGACAAATGTCAGATAATTATGGCCGAAAGCCGGTATTCTTCGCTTCGCTTGTGTTGCAGGTGATATTCGGTGTGATTGCGGGCGTTGCTCCCAACTACGTAATATTCACCCTATCGCGTTTGATTATCGGTGCAACAACATCGGGTGTATTTCTCGTGTCGTATGTATTGGCCATGGAAATGGTGGGTCATACTTATCGTTTGTTTGCCGGCGTTGCTGTGATGATGTTCTTCTCATTTGGTTTCATTTTAACGGCTGGCTTTGCATACGTTTTTCCCGATTGGCGCGAATTTCAAATTGCCATCACACTTCCCGGATTGGTGTTTATGTGCTACTATTGGTTCATTCCGGAATCATCACGATGGTTGCTATCAAAGAATCGCAAAGAAGAAGCTATTAAAATCATTGAAGACGTTGCCAAAGAGAATAAAGTAACCGTACCAAAAGAAGTGCTCGATAGCATTGGTGACGATCAAAAAGAAACGATCAAAAATCCAGATGAAAAACCACCTTCGGTATTTGATTTGTTCCGATACCCAAATTTGCGCCGAAAAACACTGTTGATTTTTCTAGATTGGTTTGTCAATAGCGCCACATATTATGGTCTTTCGTGGAACACATCAAATTTGGGCGGCAATGATTATGTGAACTTTGTCATTTCGGGTGCCGTTGAATTTCCCGCCTACACGTTCCTTTTGCTCACACTCAATCGTTGGGGACGACGGAATATTTTGTGTGGTTGCATGTTGGTGGCGGGTATCGCACTGTTAACGACCATCATCGTACCTGAACAGCATGGATATGCCGTCGTTATATTGGCCATGTTTGGTAAAATGGCCATCACCGCTAGCTATGGTACAATTTATGTTTTCACCACCGAACAATTCCCAACGCCCGTACGAAATGTTGGTTTAGGCGCATCATCAATGATGGCACGTATTGGTGGCATTTTAGCACCATACATCAACGTTCTGTCCGATATATGGAAACCATTGCCGTTGGTTGTGTTTGGTGTGCTTGCATTTATTAGTGGCCTTTTATCGTTATACCTGCCGGAAACGTTGAACAAAACGTTACCCGAAACAATCGAAGAGGGAGAACGATTCGGTAAGAAAGTGCGTAAAGATGAAGAAAATACCGTTGACAACGCAGAACTGAAAAGGCTAAATCCAACCGAAACAAACGGCGTTGGCATCATCGAAACCGCCGAACATAATGGCCATGCCAAGGTCGATAACTAGAATGTAATTTTAGACACAAACCATTCAATGATTAGTTAATCATTTAGATTCCATAAACCATACATTTCTATCAAACCAAAAAAAAAAAAAAAATCAAAAAGAAAAACAAAAACAGAAGAAGGCAACTGAACTCTTTTGAAAATTCATTCATTTTATCCTGTATTTTTATTGAATAAGAAAATTCATTTAATATTTGAAAATTAGTATTAATAAAATAATAACAGATTAATTGACAAAGAATGAGTCAATATGTATGTATATTGAACAAAGTTCAATACGTTCCTGTATATGTAGCAACAGCAACAACAATAATAACATAAAAATTAATTGACCAATCGAAAAAAAAAAGGTTAAAAAAGATGAAATAAAAGCACACTAAGTAACAACAGTACACAAACACACCAATTGTATATTTGCATCCAGATAAATTAAACTGCGAGCTAAATAAATGAAGTGAACGAGTTGAAGCTAAAGCTAAAAATCAATATGAAAATCACAGTTAAATGGAAAGCAATTGTGTTGTACTAAAAATAGACTAGATATATTCAGCTTTAATTGTCACATGATTGTCCAACATCATTGTTTAAAGCATGCATTACATTTTACATTTAATAAAACATTGCTTATTTCTCTATGTCTCTGTCGCTCTCCCACTCGTTTTTCGCACAATGAAGCGTTAAATCAATGATGCTTTTGATCTAAGCATTCTATGTCCATGAGAATGAATTTGAATAAATGCAATTTTGTAACTGAATGAATAAAAATACCAACTAAATCGAGCTATACATTAAATGTAAATCATGCAAATGGCATTTTTATCATATGATCTGTACGAGAGATATCGAAATAAAAATATCAAAAACGAATTGTAATTCTGTGTTTAAAAATTAGCACGATAAATGGAATGCAGTGAAGCGTATTAAGTTGATACTATCACCACTGGATGCCGAGTTCAAAGTCGAAAGTTAAATTGTGTGCCGGTTGTAAATGTCGCCACTGCCGCATATCGAAATATTTCACAGTTTTTAAACCACGAAATTACGAAGCATTCGTTTTCCGTCTGTCTCATCTAATAATCCATAATAAAGACGACCCATGCACATAGTTGGTACACACACGCACACACAGTGTCAATGTGGTAAAATGATATTTTAACAATCGAATAAAATCGAAGCAAAGGCGTCAACAAACTATTTATTGAAACATGTGCTCTTCCTATCTTCTGTTTGTATGTTTGCAAAAGAAAAAAAAAACCGGTACACCATACCGAACTACAATAATGCGGCACAGTTGGGAAAAATCTATATTGAGCATTTCTGTTTTTGCTTTATTTTCACCCTTTTTTCCACAACACAGTGCAAATAATTATATGCATATTGAATGACAATACAAATTAATGGAGCTGGTACTATTCTCGGCTGTGACCGCCTGATATTTTTGTTTTCACTTACAATCCCAATGAATCGACGCATTCAATCGATACTACACACGTTTTTCCTTATCAAGCTGTAATCTTATTGTTGCTCACTTTTTCTCAGTTGCAATTTTACGCCATTCATTTTCAATTATTTCAATTCAACGTTTCTTGCTGCAAGCGCAACTTATCAAACGAATGACATATTCATATATTTCATTCAATCGTGCAGAAAAATTGAAAGAATGAATGAATAAAGAAGACATTGGGAAAAAAAGCCATATGAACCAAAAACAAGTTAATTTATTGTTACCAACTAACGATTATCTGTGAGTTAAAATATTGCACCGTCTGGCAGTTATCTTCAGCGAAATTAGAATGGCCGACACAAAAACCGACCGAAAAAAGTTGTAGCACGAAGCGCGTTGATAAACGGCACGGTTTTCGATGCATGAGGTCATGATGTGAATGTTTAGTAAGTATGTTTAGTAAGTATGTTTAGTAAGTGATGCCAATGCCTGATTATCGGTTGAACGAAGTAAAGCGCCGCATCACGAGATATTTTATCAACTATCAATCCAAATAGAAGTGATGTGTCAACAAAGCAAATCGCAAATTAAACCGACACATGATACAAAACGTGTCGCCAATCACTTGAACCTCGAACACCATTGCACTCGGACACGAGAATTGAAGGCATATGACTACATTGCAAAATTATATCTAAATATTGGGGCTGCGATTCGAATTCGATGATCGGAAAATGTCATTATAATAATAAAAGAGCGAATACAAAGTTGTAGAGAAGAAGAGGAACATCGACGAAAAATACCAAAATCTGTGTGTGACAGTGATTGATTCATTGGGTCATTGAACTGCGCATATCGTTTGTTGAACAATTCGTTCATCTTATTGTAATGGGCTTGGTAAATATTAATATCTGTAACAATATTGAAAACGACAATGAATCAACAACAAAATTATCGCGTTGTGATTTTTATTCATGCTCTTTTCATCTGTGTTTCGCTTCGTGTTTTGTATTTAATGTTGTTTTTCGAAATTTTATGTGGTTTTGTCGGCCCACTATTTCACGGGTGCGCTCTCGCATCTACACTACGCAATCTTTCGAATTTCCAATTGAAATATTTATTGTATGTGCAGCACATGCAAATATATCATATGCACAACACTTTCTATATCTCTGCGCTCTGCGGTATCAAGTTTGTTGACAAACCATGTTTTTTATCTACTTGTATATCCTTGTGATGTGGCGATCGGAAAATAATCAATATTCCATACCAATATAAAAAAAAGCAACAAACGAAAAAGGAAATAACAATCGAAACAAACAAATATATGCAGTTATGCGTCTATCAGAGGAACAAAGGAAAAAAGAAATAAAGTAGAAGAATTTTATTTTTTTCGAATTCTGTACGACAGTCTTATCATTTATATTCATCTGCAATAAATTGTATAGTTTTTATTGTCGTATTTAGTAAATTTGTTGAGCGTGCATCGATCTCAAGGTGACCTGGTTTATAGTGGCAAATATTGATTTGTTCAAGTTTCGGAACCAATTTCGTTCAACGAAGGGTAAGCTATAATCAAAACACTATTCCAAAATAAACACAAGAGATAATACAATTGTGTGTCTTTTTTGTTAGTCACTTTTCCAATTGTGTCTCATGATTGTTGTAATGCTCGAGACCACTGTTTGTCGCTACTATCCTTTGAACTTGCTCACTCGATTTCAAACAGTTCAAATATAACAAAAACAATAGCCGTGAATGGCGTTAAATTCCATAAGGTTTTGTTGTCAGTCGGCATTCACATTGATATCAACAAAACATCGTATCATCCGGTTTTTTGTCAAAGAAGGACGTGACTCAGCACTGAAAGCTGTAGACTCTACGTATTAAAATCGTACCATCAGTCTACTCAGTCACAGTCTTCTTTAGATTAAAAAAAAAGATAATTATGGAACTACCTATAGGTAAACGTTATCGTTCAACGTCTTTTCAACTCAATTATCAGAGTCAAATCTCTCTTTTATGAATTGATTACGAATTTACTGATTTTTTCATTATTCCAAATTTAATTGCTATTTTTATCACGTTTATTTTTCTATTGTTTTTCAATTAGTTCGGACAAAGTTGTTATTTGTTTTTCAATGTCTCGTATCTGAAATTTGAAGAAGAAAATAAAACAATAAATATTGAATACAGTTTATAATCCGGTTTAAATGTTATATGGGTAAGGTAGCGCACCTGCGATAAATCTCTTTCCTTTATGTGTGGTTTGGCCTTTTTAACGTATTTATCCGTCGTGGTTTTAGCAATAATAAATTTTAAAGATTCTTGTAATTTATTTAGCTTCTTTTTGTTACGCTCTTGAATGTCGATTAGCTTGACTTTGACTTCTGTTGAAATGGCAACCGTACAACGTTCATTCAGGATCGAAGTCAAAATTAATTTCTCGCGTTCAAGAAATGCATCCATTTTCGTCGGCAGAATATTCGTTTCCATCGAAAATGTTAATGAATTTATAGGTCGTTGGAATTTTTGTAATATTTCCAGTGTTTTTGAGTCCGTTGAAAATAAGTAACCTTAAAAAATTGATATAATTATTTTTCCATACTTATTTTTGCTTTCGTTTCTCCGCTATTAGTTAGTAAAATGCAACTCACTTTTCGGACCATGCTTCTTCAGAATATTTTGCACTTTTTTCATTTGTCGAATTTCCGAGCATAATTCAAGCACTTGACTCACTTCATTCTCCAGTGTATCGTCTATCCACTGCTCTGGCTGAAACGGGAAAGAGAATTAAAAGAGAATGTTAAATTGAAATACGTAAAATTTTCGTCTAGCAACAATAAACCGAACCTTAAATTCCATTTGATTTGGTAAATAGGTCAGTAGTTCGTTGGATAGAAATGGTGTAAAGACGCCCATGTAGCGTAGCCCAATAGCTAAGCATATTTTCAAGACTTCGCACTGTGTTTGTGAATCGGCTGTTAACTCATTTTGAAAGCTGTATTTGGCCGCCTCAACGTACACATCGCAGAGATTCTCATAGAAAAATTCTTTCCACACAGCTGCACAGCCAACGTTCAATGAATCCAACGAGTTGCTGCTTTCACGTACCGTCCTCGCTAAACGACTCAAAATCCATTTATCCATAACGGACAGTTCATTCGCTTTGATCGCTGGATTTGACACAGAATCCACCGAAAAGGCACTGCAGTTGGTCAAAGTGAATTTTGTTGCATTCCAAATCTTATTCAAAAATCGATGGATCCGTTCACAATCGTTCGGATCGAATTTAATGAAATATTCACGAACATCGGAATAACAGAGTGAAAATCGAAGCGCATCAACGCCACTAAATGGAATTCCTTTTGGAAATGACAATTCTTTCGTATGCAGCGATTTATTGAGCTCATTTTGCGTTAAAATTCCAACTTTGTGCAGTTTTTTCAAGTCATCTCTTAATTCCTGGGATTTAAAAAAAGATAAAAACAATTTTCTTTGTCATTAAATTCCGTTCTAAGTATACCTATTAAAAAAAATTAGCAAAAAAAAAAACAAATTTATAAAGAAATTTACGTTCAGCGAAGCGCCGTTAATCACTTGATCTGGTGTAATAACATTCCCTCGGCTTTTTGACATTTTTCTGCCTTGTTCATCACAAACAATGCCATGACAAAATGCTTTACGAAATGGAACATTCTTTTGGAAGTGAGTCGACAGCATCACCATGCGTGCAATCCAGAATAATAAAATGTCGTGACCCGAAACAAGTACGTCAAGTGGATAATTCGCAGTAAGTTTGTCAACAGTTGGCCATCCAAACAGCGAAAATGGTAAGATTCCAGATGAAAACCATGTGTCAAGCACGTCTTCATCTTGTTTCACCGCAATTTTTTCCCTGTCAACCGTTTCCGTTCTGCCAAACTCCTTTACGGCTTTGTCAACGGCATAATTCCGTGTGTGTGCAGCGACCCAAATGGATCTATTTTCATAAGTACAATGATATGCTGGTATTTGATGGCCCCACCAAATTTGCCTGCTCAAGCACCAATCGGTCGATTTTTCAAACCATCGATTCCATTCATGTTGAAATTTCGACGGTACAATTTCTAATTGACCAGTTTCAACAACTCTAATCGCTTCCTTGGACATTTCATCGCACTTCAAAAACCATTGCGGTTTCGTTAGCAGCTCGATAACATCCTTTGATCGAGAGCATATCGGAAGATCCAATTTGTGATCGGCTTTGGATTGAAATAAATTCATAGTTGCCAATGATTCAAGTATCTTTTCGCGTGCAATGAACCGAGGCAGTCCAGCAAATCCGTTGAATTCACTCAAAATAGCACCGTTTTGATCGATCACAGGAATGAACGGCAGTTTGTGCCTCAGTGCAATTTCATAGTCAGATTTACTATGAGATGGCGTTATTTTAACGGCACCCGTTCCAAAGGAAGCATCAACACTGTCGTCAAATATCAACGGGATCCATTCATTTCGAAATGGATGCCAAAGTCGTGTATTTTTATTGCATAAATGTGCATATCGTTCATCGTTTGGATTGACTGCAACGCCTGTATCACCGAGAATGGTCTCGGGCCGAGTTGTAGCCACGGTGATGAATTCATCGTCGCTGGTTCTATATGAAATATTGTATATTTCACCAAACAATATGTCTTTGTCGTAACCGGGGACTGGAATTTTAGTCGGACCATTGATTTCAATATTCTCAACTTCAATGTCGGATATAGTTGACTTCAGTGCAAATGACCAATTCACCAAGGCTTCCTTTCGATAAATCAGCTGCTCGTCGAAGAGTCGAATAAATGCTTCAGCCACTGCAAACGATTGATGCTATTACAAATCGAACAATTAATATTGTCTGTTAAGATGAAACAAACGAAATGACTCACTTGATCCATTGTGAAATACTCCCTTTCCCAATTGAAAATGGTTCCCATTTTAAGAATATCTTCTTTGATGCCACCGCCTGAAGGAATAGAAAAAAGTTGGATAAATAAAAAAAGAAAACCGAAACGAAATAAACGTACCTTTTTCGTCTTTCCACTGCAGTACCTTTTCAATGAATGCACTTTTGCCGATGTCGAATCGAGTGAGTCCAAGCTCTTTCTTGAGTTTTTGTTCAACCACCACCTGTGTAGCGATACCGGCATGATCCAAACCAGGCACTAATTCCACATCGTAACCATTTAAATGCTTCCACCGGCAAATCACATCCAAAACAGTAATCATCATAGCATGGCCCAAGTGAAGATTGCCCGTTACATTTGGCGGCGGCAAAATTGAGTTGAATTTCGTCGCATATAGCTTGCGTTCGACATTAGGGAATAACTTCTTGTTACTTCGATCGAATGCACAAACATCTCGCTCCACTTCCTTTGTGTTATAAACATCACAAAAACCTATGAAACGGATTGAAACAATAAATAAGCACACCATACGTATTCGATATTTGGTAAAAACCCGTGTTCAAAGTGCATACTTTTGTATCGTCGATTTGTGGAGAAAATCGATATTCTGCTGGTAAACCCCTTGACAATAAATATTCTATTCATTTTCAATGAACATTTTAATTTGATAAAAATTATTTAAAAACCTAAAACCGATTCGTGTTGGTTATAAACGTTCTTGCATTGACAGCAATAACATATGATAGCTGACAGCCGATGTCACTTCATCGCTTCCCTACTTAACATAGAGATGGCGTTGTGATACATTTTTCGACTGATTTTTTTGTCCCAAAATTATTTGTATTCAATTTGAAAAGCCAATATCAGCCAAAGGAAAATAAATATTAATCCATTTCAACATTTGTATAAATTGCAAAAAAAAATTCTTCATTGAGATTAAAATCCTCTTTCATTTCGTCTGTTACAATCATTTGAAGGCAACAACAGTGCGGTACGAAAACAACTTAATTGCAATGATGCAAAAAAAGTCCACAGACAGTTCTGCCCTTTATCATCCGATTTGCGAAGGTTTTTTTTGTTCGAAAGAAGGAATATCGCATTCAGCATATTTTGTGTGTTGCACTTTTTCCCAACTGGACGAACATGTGAAACTCGTCTGCGAATCGATTTGATTGAGAGAGAGAGAGAGAGAGAGAGTAAAAGAGATTTTATCGCTATTCACAGTGTCATTCACATTGATGCTATCAAAGCGATGGATTATTGTTACAAAGGTAGCTCAAGAGCCATTGAACTAGAGAAACTGTGAAAATCCAAACCGAAACTTTCTTCTTCTATTTCTATTCTTATCCAGAAGGGGAAAAAGGAAAAAGGCATAAAGAATCGCTTTGAAGATCGTGACAGTGGATTCACTATAGTAATATGGTATAGTGTCTAAAGGCAAACTGGTAAAATCTGTATTTAAATCAATAAATCGTTGAGGTTTCTGCATGATGATCCGAGAGGCGAACTGTTATTTGCTCGCATTAGTTATGTGAACGGTATGTATAATGGAACAGATGCAAAGAAATATTTCGGCAAAAAGTCAACAAAGAAGTCAACGAAGCATTGCCATTGAACAAAAGTTGAGCCAATAAATTGTCTATCATGAATTATAATATTATGCGGATATTAACCTAGAGACAAGTAGACACATGCATTCACCAGCCAGCCCTATACATAGACAAACACACACGCAACACACATTCATTCAAAATGATTGCGACGCTTAAAGCCTTACCGACCGAGAAAAAAAAAACTTCGACGATAATCAACGGAAACGGTTATTGTCAAATTCTTCCTCATGGATGGAAAATCTTTGACGATTTATACCATGCCAGACTGTTTTTGAATCTACTAAATAGATGTATACATTCATATTCCATATTCCAACGTCTCGAGGATAAATGAGGTCACATGTTTACCAACATTATGTTGTCTGTTTGTGGTTCAATGCTTGGATGCTTATCGGTAGAAAATGTGTTTATTTCAAAGACAAATAATTTTTCGAAAGTTATGCCATTTGAACGGATAATTTTTTGATTGCTATATTCTCAGGCTGCTTTATGCATTTGGCCACAGACGGTGCCACAAACAATATTGAGTAAGCGCCAAATGATCGAATGTTAAATTCCGAAATTATGTCTTGGAAATTCTTGTCGAACGCTTTAATTTAATTTTGGTATGGGTGAGTAGAGGGTTGAATTTCCCAAACAATTCGCTGGATTAGCAACAAATATTTGAGATTGGTGTTATTTTCGGCAAAATACACGCACACCGTATCAGAGTGTTCATGTATTCAATATCATAGCCGTCTGTTCGCGATTAAAGTAATCAGCCAAGTGTATGGTATCGCTTTTGAACGGTATAATATTTCAATGGAAATTTAAATAAGAAAATCCAAAAGTGAAGTGCTTCGGGTGTGTATTTTCGACTTTTAAGTATAATGTGCTTCTGTTGTTGCTGCTGCTACCGCTACTACTACTTTTTGCCATTACTTTGTTGTTGATATTGCTGAATTTAACTTGAGAACGCTTTCGATTATTCGAACTGCGGCATTCATACAGAGTCCATTGGCTGCAAAGTGGGTAAAGTAAGATACGCGAGCAAATCCGATAAGATATTTTAATCACGTTCACATTCATTCGCTCGAAAATACGACCAATTTATGATCAATAACTTGGATTTGGATTATTCTCTCACGAAATTTTTGGGCCGTCGCACGTACAACCGCCGAAACTTACAAACCGCACGATTTCTAAATCGAATCACAACAAGTGCATTCAAATAGTTTCATTGTAATAAACTTAACAATTGATACGTGAAACATTATATTCACTCTCTCCCTCTCTCTCTCTCTCTCTCTCTCTCTCTCTCTCTCCTTCTCCCCTCTCTCTCTGCTTGTCTGTCTCTCTTTCCATATTTTTTTACTATTAATTTCCACCAGATTGTGACCATTACGATATTGCCAGAACAACATGAAGACAGCCAATGACATCTCTAAACCAACATATTGATTCATTGAATATTTCGAGTTTGACCAGATTGTAATCAACTTTACAGCGACACTTACAGCTTCTCTGTACACACATCATTATGAAAATCACAGTATTTTGACAAATGCATCAAGTAACCATTGCAAAATTTCAGTGTGCATTGCTTAGTGTGCAGTTATATACTTCACAGAGAAGCTGTTAGTCTCGCCGTAAAGTTGAATATATTATAGTAAAGCCACACACGATTGATAAAAGTTGCACGAAATATTCAATGATTCAATGAGTTGGTTTAGAGATGCCATTGACTACAATGTGGCAGAAGTCTTACATTTAAAATGTATTACGGCACTATATCTATGATTTTGACCGAATCTTCAATTCAATAAATTTTCACGTCGAACATTTCGGTAAATACGATTTATTTGCTCTTGATTTGTTCAAGATTCAGCTTCAGAGTTTTCGTGCCAAAATTCTTACTTTCTTTCGTGGTATTTGGTGGAAGAAAAATGGTACCCTTGTGACAAATGATTCAAAGTGTTGGAGGAAAGACGAATTGGATAAATGAAGTAGATAGTTTTCTATGCTGTGTAAAGGCAATGCTTTGCTTGCGCGTGCAAAGTTTTCCGGGCTGTGTTTTTCTCTCTGTTGTAAAAACTCCGGAATAATTATTTGTTGAAAATCGTCGTGCACACGCAACAATTCTGATTAACAAGAAAACATTTCTCCCGAGAATGATATGCCACTTTAGTCACTTGGAACGAACAAATTACCGATGACATTCGAACACAGAGAAAATATGCTTACAACAGTTTATTAACGGTGAAGGAGATAGTGAAATTGAAATGCTAGCAAAAATATCGCTATGAATTGAGTCAGTCTGGACGTCGAGTAGCAGGGAAAAAAATTAATACACGAACAGATGGCTTAAGGCAAGAAGTTCCATTAGTGTGGACTTCAATCAAGCGTCAATTCGTCAGCGTCGAAGATGAATGAGCCGTGATTGGTGTGAGCGTGAGTGATTCAATGAAATTTCATCAATTTAAAAATCTGAATCATTTTCTCCGCGCATCGTCGTCCGCTCCACATTCACGGTTATTATTCACATCATTATACATGTTTTCTCCTTCTATTCTATTCTAAGTATCTCATCGGCATGATGGCTGTATCACATCATCAACAACACGCTAGAGAGCATTAAACTATAATGATCCGTCACAATATAACACATACATACACCCAAAAAAAAAAAATGAATAACTATATTTTCGGTTTCGATGAAATATTTTTCTGACATTTATCCGATTTAAGTTTAAAATTTATCATATTTTCGTTCTCGTTGTTTTGTCTCTTTCTTTCTTCCTTTTTTTTTTTTTCTTCTAACACACAATTTTTCGGGGTGAGATTACCACACGCATACATATAGTAAGACATCAAGTTTTGTGTGGCAGAGAAGGAAGAATCATCATCACTCAAATAACAGCGTTACATTACTATGTTCATGTTTTACAAGGCGATATATAAACGAGAAAAAACATATTGTACTATGGAATGGCTTGACTGTTTTGAGAGACGTGAAAAAAACGCGCGCACACACACACACACACATACAGACAAATACCGACGATGACGACCAAAAAATTGCAAGAAATCTTTCGTTCGCTGGCGAACCAAATATCGTTACACGTTTGTTCGTGTGCAAAAGTGCGACGAGACGAATAAATGATCTTCTATGATTTATTACATCAAATTTATTATATATGTGGGAATAAAAAATACGAAGCATTTTTCCTCGTTTCATACACGAACATGACATATTGACGACTATCAAAGAAAGCTCGAGCGAACTTTTCAAAGGATTTGTATTTTTGCTTGTGAGATTTAGCCATGCAGAGAAAGAGAGAGAGAGAGGGACAATTGCACAGCGTTTAACACACTCTTTCTCTCTCAACGCAATGCATTACACCTACATATATATGATTTTCCAATCCAAACACACACAACACACTTCACCGTTATTCAATGCTCAAAAATTTTAAAATTGAAAGCAGAAATAAAAATGGAATCAGCAAGCAAATGAATGAAAAGGAATACATATCGGTAATCGGTTTTCACGATGTATTATATGGCAGATATTCGATGATGGAGACATATCAACACACAACACATTCGATACGATCAATAAATTCGCCAACTTAATCCATTCAAAGAGGTTGAGCCTTTGTCAACATAAACGAAATATAATATTGCTTTCAATTCAAATGTTTTACAAAGGAGAAAATCAAAGAGCGCGGGTGTGAATGTGTGAAGGGAGCAAACAAAAATGAAACGAACTGTGTTCGCTAACACCTGAAATCGGTTTCTGTGTACAAGACCGAATGAGCCATCTAACCGAAATTGAATATAGTCAACAAGTAAAATTCGTCAACAGCACACCACCTCTTGGTTGATAATCGAATGCTGAATGTGTGTGCGGTTTTTTGTTGTTGCCTGTATTCACCTTTTTCTCATTCCCATTTGTGTTGGTTCTTTTTCTTCTTCTCTCCCTCTAAATGTTGTTCGGCTAAACTATTTCAATATTTCGAAGTGAAATGAAACATAAATAAATGTCGATAGCAATCGGCAGACTATTACACTGCTTCTTGATGCAATTTCAAAAGAGTGCGATTTGATGTGTGGTACTTGCTGGGGTTTTGTTTTGTTTATTTTGCCTCGTTGTTGATGCTACGCGCATGTCTCACTTTATCCACCTTCGTCAACGTTGAAATGCTGCATTTGAATCGCACGGGCTAACACACTCTGTATACTCTTCATACAGCGTACTGTACGGTGTCATGCCATTTGCCTTGTATGCATTCTCATAGTCCGAAAATGTGAAGAGCACATTTCCACCGAAGCCGACACATTCAGTGAATGCCAAGCATTTGATACGATGAGTTCGGCAATATAAAATTCGAATGTTTCACCAAAAACTCAGCCAGTTTTCGACCGTAATCGTTCGGAACAGCAAGTCTGCCTAGGCGTCTGTCTGTCTTATTGCATCCGTTGTTGTATATTTCAAAATTTGCGATCGCATTATGATGCTGATATCCATGTGTGAGCTTTAGCTTTGTATTGTAAAACATTTACCGTGAACAACAAAACAACAAACCAAACCGTGTGCTCCGAGCATCGACTGCAAATTAAATTCGATATTCGTTGCTACCCATCGACCGATACAATTTACGGTATAAATCGAATCCAATCGAAAATCAAATACACATAAAACAGTGATTGTTGCTGATTTTGTGCGATTTTAGATATTGTCAATAATTGTGAGTTGCTAGTGGCTTTATCCTTTATAGGTTCATTGGCTTCATATTTACGGACACGGTACAAGCGCAAGTAAAATAGTTGAAGATAATACTGCATTGTTTTCGTTTTATTTTTCGTCTGGTATTTGAACAACAACAAAAACGAGAAAAATTTAACGAAAAAACGAAAATAAATAAATGAAAATAAAGAAGAGGCAGAGCAAAAAATAAAGCAGAAAGAAGAAAAAGAAGCAACAAAAAACCAAATCGATAAGGAAAACACGCCATTGCTGTGTGCGCTTTTTGTTTTTTCATTCTAAATAAAATATTATTTGTTTGCACGGAACAGTACTTGTTTGAAAATATTCGGGTCGAAATACAGGGAGTGAACGCAAAATTTCTTGGCATTAGTTTTACCAGACAGGACTATTTGCTACATATAGTTGGATTGTTGTGGCCGCTGAGTTTTGTACTCGCTCTCCGATCCGATTTTCTCTCACTTGTATGTAATTCAAAGTGATATAGTGCGGTGAACTCAAAACCGACAGGTTTGAACACATTACATTTGCACGAGAGTTCCAAATGAGTGATGACGAAATTATTCGTTTTGGTTTGATGGATTCTATAACAACTAAATCTTGAAATTTATCGAAATAAACCTCAGCTTTTGGGATGCTAGTGGTTCGAAGGTTCTTACACACATACACACACACACACAGAGAGAGAGAGAGAAGAACAGAAAGAGTGAATGTGCACTATTTCAACTTCGGTAAAAACCGCATAACCCAAACTCCTCGAAATTAGCTCAGCTTGGCTGAATCGGCACATGGTCCCCAAAAAGTATCCCAAGTGTAATGTACACATACACAGACATACTTAAAACACACACACTAAACTAACCAACCAAATGAGCCAACGAACGAATGAATGATTATTTAGCAAAGTGCCTACGGACAGGCCAAAATATAAGTGTATCTACATCTTAATGAAGAAATCCATACCCGCACGCATTCAAACACCGGAGCACCAGCAACAGTAGTAATAATACACAAAATTACAAAATACACCATTCCAAGAGCAGCAACGGCAACGGCAACGGCAACGGCAACGGCAACGGCAACGGCAACGGCAACGGCAACGGCAACGGCGGCAGCAGCAGCAGTACCAAAAACTTCAGCATAATAATTTGATGGTTGCATTCAAAATTGAATCATGGCACATAAGTTATATTAGTTTTTGCGTGCGAGCATTTTATTAACATGGGATTAATATAATCAATTACATATGGTTGCGCGTAATAAAAACGTTGTTGTTGTTCATGCTGAAAGCAGCCATCGCATGATGATGATGATAAATGTGTAACAGATGTGTATTTCAAAAAGGATAGACACAACAGCTAAAAGAGTATCCATTCACATTAGCTAATAGGGTAATCGAGGAACGAATTGAAGGTGAAGAAAATATACATCAAGCGAAGCACAAACATTATACCAAATCATAAGCCACTACACCGAAAAGTCAATGAATAACCCAAAGACATTGTTTGTAAAATTCATAATCGTGTCAAAGCATTAAATCAAATTCACCGATCCCTGTGAATACATTTCGATGAGCTTTCGAGCCTCGAATAAAAGTGGCGGAAGAAAAAGAAACTATACATCTGCAACGAAGTAAATTCTATCGTACTGTGTGAAATCATTTATGTGCAACTGTGTTGTTTAACGCGAACAGAGATTCCGCTTTCTCTATCTAGTTTTTTTCATTATTTCACTCTGAACAGCGGTTCAAAATTGTGTTGTAACTCAGTCTCTTGGTAAAACCACCGACATCCACATACTTTACAGCATCTCAATTTCGAGTGTGTTTACATGTATATCGTCGAACCGTAGCATCATCTATCTTGGCGTAACGAGAAAGCGTTAGACACATTTTTTTTGCGCTGTAAATACATTTAGAACGTGTGGAATTTTGCGTGTGCGGTATATCTGTGCTTAGAACTATTTCCGGCGTTTTTTAAATTTTTCACATAGCATGCAAATGCCAACACAAGCGGATTCCATGTGAATCGTTTTTCTTTGATCTGAGAACGACGACGACGGTTGTGTCAACGAAAACTACAATTGAAAACTGATAACTCGGTGTAGAATTCAAACCAAAGACGACGGCAAGTACGTCGACGACGACGGCGACGATAGCACCAAGAACAAAGGCAGCAACAGTAACAATAGCAGTGTAGAGCATAACCACTCATTAAAACGCGTTGCCCTTAATGAATACCAATTTCGGGTTTCATCCAAAAAAATAAATTTCGTCTTCAGTTTTATGTTAGATAAAAGCAAAAGCGGTAAGTACCATAGATTTGTTGAACGAATTATGGTTAGACACTACATTAGGACTGTTTTAATTTGGAACATTTTTGGGATAGGTGAGAGCACCGTGTGAATGTTGGAGTATGATGATATGAGTATGTTGTGCGTATGTGATAGAGCATCAGGAATGTCGGTATGAATAACGAAACTTTCGTTTCGAGAAATATTTCACCGCGGTAAATTCCAGCCACTGAATCAATTCATCTAATTGTGTATGTAGAATATTACCCAGTGTAGGCTTGTTTGGTTTTTGAGCCCATTTTCATTTGCTCATCTTCACTGAAAACTTCAAGTAAGAATGAAGATGAAAAATGAAAATGAGAACGAAAGAGAGTTTTCATCGCCAAGATCCGGTGATGCAAACAAAACCAGAATAAATGAGATTTGAATGAGTTTGCTTTGGGCATGGATGTGACATTGACATTTTTTATATTAGAATTTTTCATTGTTTGCATTCGTGCACTTGAGGATGCTGTTTAACTATATAATCAAAGATCTTAATTTGGCTTTCGTCAGTCTTAAAATGACTTTTTGTTTTGCCACTCGCTCCCCTTTCTTTTCCTCACATCAAATGTCCCGTTTGCTGCCTCGTTCTCGTCATGACAATGTGCAGACTAAAGAATATGTCATCAAAGTTGTTTGCAATGAACGTAAAATATTATTAAGCCTCTCGGCTTCGGAACGAAAAAAAACTCTCCGAAGAGAAAAGGAAAAAGGAGATTTGAAACGGGACAAAAACTTTGATTCACCCAAAGATAAATAAATAAGCAAACGCTTAAATGATGAAAAAAAAACCTGATAAAATCGATTAACCAATTTTTGTTTTTCTTCTTTGTCTTCACTTTCGTTTCTTTTTTTTTATCATTATGTATTCACTTCATAATTCATAAGTCATGTTTCGTATCACACGAAAAGGAACCAACAATTTTTTTTTTTCCTTTGTGAATGTGTATGGAAATTGAATAAAGAATCGACGAAATAAAAAAGTTGTCGAAAAAAGTGGAAGCGATGGGGGATAAGGGAGCAAATGTTAAAAGAATAAAAGAGTTGATTGTTGTCAGCCGTTTATTGGATAAAAATAATTTAATGTTTTGCTTTTGTCATCGGATGACGTAGCTACTTCTTATGGCATTTAATGACTTAACTTTCATGTCATGCCTTGATTCAGATCATAACAAAAATGTGTTTACTCTCAAACGAAGAAGATTCACTAAGGAAACTATAACGCGATACGAATCACCATTGATTCGAAGCTTTTGATACGCTTATGAACTAAACAAATAACGATCAACAACAACAACAAAAAACGCAACGATTTATTTGTTCGTTAACGCGCTTGCGGTAATAGTTCCAGTTTATTTATTGGGATTTTCAGTTGTGTTGAACACCGTATCCATTCCCAATATTCGCTTGCCACAATAGATTATGTTCATTTTTGTTGGCAGCTACTTGTTGTTTTTGCTAGCGAAACATTCATTAAGTTTCCATTCGCATTCGTTGGTAAGTTTGAGCATTGCGACGACGACAGACTCGACGGGTATTATGTGGCAATCAAACACACATTGCGAAATGGCACCTTCTTTCGGTTGCTGGTGAAATGATGGTGTGTTTTATGGATCAAAGATACAATCGCAAGGGATGTGGTTTAAAGCGACGAAGACTTGTGTGAACGATGACAAACCAAACAGACTGACAGCAGCAGAAAAAATTGAAATCTGAAGAGCAGAAATACACACATACTCATGTGAGCCATGTGCTTTGGCTACACTTCGTTGGACAAAATATTGTGTGGTAACCAAGCGCCAAAATCGCTGCACCAAAAGTGTGATGACTGATGAGCATATTTGCAAACATTCATTAATGCGATGTGATTGTGACTACGTGTGTCTGGAATAGAATGGAATGAACTCTCTCTTCAGCAAACATGAAATGGTACTCATGAAACAATGCAGCATTTTCGCACAACCTTTTGCTATCCCAAGTAATTTTCCGCTTGAGATGTTTTTGCTTCCTTATTTCGTCTATTTTGGTGTGAGCGTGTATTTGTGTATTTGTGAATATGCCATCAAGACATTGAATTTAAAATCCATTTCGTATTTCTGATACAGACATTCGCACGATGAAAGCTACTACCGGAAGCGAGTAAAGGAAAAAATGATGAGCAAAACATATCTTATTTTGGCTAGCAAATGTTGCGATTAATATGAGTTCTTTGCATCTGTTAATAACGTGTGCTCATCCGCACGTATATACGTTCGTCACTGTATTTTCGATATTCATACGGTTTGGTTCATCCTTCGTCTTTGTTTTTCGAAATAAATTTTTGCGCCAAAAAACTCGCAACTGATTTTTTATTTTTCATTTTGCGAAATAGGTTTTAATACACTATCTGTTCATGTGACACGCTAGTGAGCATGTACCTCAAATGAACTGTCAACCGAAACAAATTAAATTATGCAATGACACAAACACACAATTTCGCAAAACTTACAAAATGAGTAGCCGAAAAGTTGAACCGAAAAATGTTGTTGGAAAATGTCCGCACTGTTTCATGTGATTAACATATTCGGTGCGATGATTAAAATGAAATTGAGAACGAAAATGGCTCGAATGAGCCATCGTTGTTGTTGATGAGCGATTTATACACAGAGTGAAGAGGAGAAAGAGACAGATAGAGAGAGAGAGAGAGAGAGAGAGAGAGAGTGATACAAAAAAATAACCCAGTTCCTCTTATCTGCGATGAGCTTAAGCGTAATGTCGAAACTATTTGCTCACAACGAAAAATTGCGCGTGGAAAATGTTGATGTTGCTCTACCCTATCTCTCATCCGTTTCGAGCTTAAATATCGAGCGTGAAAACGAGCAAAAGAGCGAACAAACACTAAGCAATGATTTTGTCAGCACCGAAGCTCATTTTTACGGTGCTTAACTTGAAATGAGAGACTAATCAGAGTCAGGTCAATACCAATTTCCATGAATACATTCAAAGGAAAATTGATAAAATGAATGAACCTTTGATGCCATCTAATTGACCGTAAAATCATCTCATGGAGAAAGTGAAAAGAACTCATTCCAAGCACACTATTCCAGTCAATATCCCTTCGCTCTTGTGTTTGTTCGCGCCTTTCATTCCCGTTTGCTTTGTGTCCGTGTATTTGGGTGCCCCGAAACTATTGGTATCGCTTTGAAATATGATTTTCTCACTTTGGATTAGTGTGAAGTGTGTTCACACTGCGTCTAGACCACCAAATTGAAAAAGACAAGTACCAAAATTGGCTTACGACTCGCCACTTTAATTACAAACCATGAAATCGAGCAGTGCAGCATTTTATCTTGACGCTATTCTCACTTGTACGAACTTTTACGACCAATTCTCCCATTCTTCTTCCACACATTCTATATGATTCATTGGTATATCCGAAGAACTACGGTGTCGAAGATGGTAGCAAATTAATTGATTAACTTTTATGTGATAACGTACTTTTTTTTGTTCGTTCGTTCGTTCGTTCATTTTGAATATATCCAAAACATACATTGTTGAACATCTTTCAAGAAAATGTTAAGAAACTTCATGTACACACACGCGCTTATCAAAATCCAGAAAACACTTTCGAAATTTATTTTTATTCATTTGGACGTGAACATTTTCACTTGACGTAATCACATTCTGTTTCCATATTTATCCATGACAATGCAATTTACCAAGTGAACACAAAATTTTTTTCTTCAGTTTTTGTGTATGTGTGGAAATTCGAACGCTTCAAATTTGCGAAGCGAATGACAAAGAGGAAGAGAAAAAGAGAGAGAGAGAGAGAGAGAGAGAGAGAGAGAGAGAGAGAGTGTGTGTGCGGTAAAAGTGTTGGGAAAAATGCCCTTAAAAACGCATAAGCCAAACAATATACAATGAAAGTATTTTTGCAAACAATTCGGTGTATACGGCGGCTGTTGATTTAACTTGTATACAATCAAAAGCACTCTCGTGGTTCACGATGGATAATACGCTAATAAACCATAAAAAGCATACAGCGAACTCCTTTCAATATTCACGCCTTTGATGTTTGAGAGTGGAATAACATTACGCGTCGACTAACCAGGAGAGAGAGAGAGAGAGAGAGAGAGAGGAAGAGAGAGAGAGATAAAGAAAAAAAAATCAAATAAAATCTGACTCGATTCTTTGCCTATTTATTCAAGGCTACGGAAAGCCGTGAATGTGTCGCTTTAGACGTTTCGCTTTTCTCTGCATCAAATTTCAACCATTCATAGTAAAATGGATTCAGAACATATTTTTTTGTTCGCACATATTTCGTAAGAAGTATTGTGTTCGATGATAAATCGAATTTCGACGAAAGCCATTCAATGCCTCCCTATCCTCAATTTTTTTCCGTCGCTATCTTGGTATATTCCCATTTCGCAAGAAAAGAATACGCAAACGAAAGAAGAGACGTTTAATTAAAACGAATAAACATCTGGAAATGGGTTGGGTTGATGATGATGGGAGGGAAAAATGATGCAAATTGTCTCATTAAAGTGCGACTGTGAACATATAAGATGAGCTGAAGATTCCGTTGTCTGACATGCATCATTCGCATTTTGATTGACGACGATTCTATACTACTTCCATGCAATACTTGCTATGAATGTGCCCGTACATTTTGTGCGGAAAGAGACAAGGACTCTTTATAATTGTTTTCCATTTTTTTTTCTGTTCGGTTCGGTCTTGTTCGGATCTCCCACTCACTCACTTTTCACTAAAAGTGATTTGTGTTCGTTTCTTTGTGTAGAAAATGAAATTTGCTCAGCACTTTTCTTGCAAGATATTTCACGAGGCATATGTCAAACATAAGGATAGGATATCGTTAGGAATGTTTCAAAGCACTTTTGGAAATGCGATACCATAAAGCGCAAAAAAATATATACATGTACTTACTAGTATGAAGAGAGACAGTGAGATGGAGGGATATAAGCAAAAATATGTC